TGGCCAACTGAAAAGAATGAACATGAAAAGAATGCCCATGTATAGCACTCAATACTTAGTCGGGGCTCCTTTTGCCTCAATCACTGCATTAATGCGGCGTGGCATGGACTCGATTAGTCTGTGGCACTGCTCAGGTGTTATGAGAGCCCAGGTCGCTCTGATAGTCGTCTTCAGCTCCTCTGCATTGTTGGGTCTAGCGTATTGCATCTTCCGCTTCACAATACCCCATAGATTTTCTATGGGGTTAAGGTCAGGCGAGTTTGCTGGCCAATCAAGGACAGGGATACCATGGTCCTTGAACCAGGTACTGGTGGTTTTGGCACTGTGTGCAGGTGCCAAGTCCTGTTGAAAAGTGAAATCTGCATCTCCATAAAGTTGGTCAGCAGCAGGAAGCATGAAGTGCTCTAAAACTTCCTGGTAGACGGCTGCATTGACCCTGGACCTAAGGAAACAGAGTGGGCCAACACCGGCAGATGACATGGCACCCCACACCATCACTGACGGTGGAAACTTTACACTGGACCTCATGCAACGTGGATTCTGTGCTTCTCCGCTCTTCCTCCAGACTCTGGGTCCTTGATTTCCAAAGGAAATGCAAAATTTGCTTTCATCAGAAAACATAACTTTGGACCACTCAGCAGCAGTCCAGTCCTTTTTGTCCTTGGCCCAGGCGAGACGCTTCTTACGCTGTTTCTTGTTCAAGAGTGGCTTGACACACGGAATGCGACAGCTGAATCCCATGTCTTTCATGCGTCTCTTCGTGGTGGTTCTTGAAGCGCTGACTCCAGCTGCAGTCCACTCTTTGTGGATCTCTCCCACATTTTTGAATGGGTTTGTCGTCACAATTCTCTGCAGGGTGCGGTTATCCCTAGAGCTTGTACACTTTTTTCTACCACATTTTTTCCGTCCCTTCGCCTGTCTGTTAATGTGCTTGGACACAGAGCTCTGCGAACAGCCAGCTTCTGTAGCAATCACCTTTTGTGTCTTGCCCTCCTTGTACAAGGTGTCAATGGTCGTCTTTTGGACAACTGTTAAGTCAGAAGTCTTCCCCATGATTGTGGAGCCTTCAGAACAAGACTGAGGGACCTTTTAAAGGCCTTTGCAGGTGTTTTGAGTTAATCAGCTGATTAGTGTGGCACCAGGTGTCTTCTATATTGAGCCTTTTCAGAATATTCTAATTTTCTGAGATACTGAATTTGGTGTTTTCATTAGCTGTCAGTTGTAATAATAAAAATGAAAATTAATAAACACTTGAAATATATCACTATGTGTGGAAGGAAAGTATACAGTATACAAGTTTCACGTTTTGAATGGAATTACTGAAATAATTCAACTTTTTGATGATATTCTAATTTACTGGCCAGCACCTGTAGGAGCAGCTTCAGTCCGCTCTGACAGCTCTCATCAGCCTGCTGTGCTCCTCCAACACACAGACACACACACACACGCGCGCGCGCACACACGTGGAGTTTTGTAGTTGACGAAAACAAAACTGGTTTAAAGCCGAAATATTCCCACACTTGGGCTGTTGCGTTCGGTTTAGACACCAAAGCTGTCGTGTTCATTCTGTTTGCTTGCTTTTCATTCACGACGCTCACTTGCAGCACTGTATCCAAAAGTCTGTGTCTGTCAGTGGCGGCTGCTGGTCTTTCAAGGAGGGGAAGCTCATTTTTCTGGCCTACATCATAATTGTATTTGTTTATTAGTATGTAACAGAACAGAGTCGCCAAACACAACGGCAGTCATTTTTAACAAAGACAAAAGTCGCTGAGGATCGGTAAGGTCTCCGGAGCAGTTAAGAACAACGGAATGAATAACTTGGAAAATGCTCTGGTAGATGTTTTATTCTTCAATATCGCTGATTCGCTTGTTTAGCTGTCAATCAAAAAAGGATTTCGCCTCAGACAGCTCATCCAATCATGGATGCAGAAGCTTGGAGTCCGGGAGAAAGTCGGGACCGCCCTCTCGCCTTAGAACTCCAGTGAAGCTGGGCTTCCGATGGGCGGGACAAAGCCCAGCATTTATCCAATGAGCGTCTAGTTTCGCTGCTGGAACAACCCACTTTAAGCTTCCACATTGAAGTCAGCAGAAGCCCAGCGTCCGGCTGTTTAAAGCGCTGAGGCGCTGCGAGGGTGAATGAGAACGAAGTTATGCCGGTTACCTGTGATTATCAGCTTCTTATCACAGTGTCTGAACAAAAGATGAAGGCTTTCTAGTGCGTATTTAGTTAATGAAATGTACACACAGCAGTACGTATTTCCCCACTTTTTCTTTTTTTTGAGGGGTGACATTTTAAGGGAAGCCGAGCTTCCCTTGCAGTCTTAGAGCAATCGCCACTGGTGTCTGTGTACCTGTGCGCGCGCCCCCTCGTAACAAAGACACTGAATGACTGACAGGAGGGTTCACTAACTCCGTTCATTCCGCTATAGAGCCAACGCCCCCAGGTGCCGAGAAAAATGCGCAGAATGAGACCTCTTCTCTCATCCAGCGTGTTTGGTAGCGAGAGAGGAGGAAAACAAACGCACGTCAATTATCGAGGCTGGCAAAATGACCGACCTCGTTTTTATTTACCGAGCGATAAGGCGATTTATTGATTATCGCGACAGGCCTAGAAATAGAGTTTTTTAAATAAACAGAAATGACATCATTTGGCATATAATCTTTGACTCTGAATATGCTGTATGGACTTTCATCCGCTGAGTGCTGCGACACAGATAACTGCAATGCAGAGACTCTACCCGGTGAGTAAAGATGAAAACTAAACTTATTCGAATGTATGTGTACAATCTTTTTAAAATTAGGAAAAGGTGCAGCTCAAAAAACTGAAACCTCAGATTCATCACACACAACGTGAAATATTTCCAGACTTTTTGGAAAAACGTCTTGATGATTACAGCTTTAATCTCTCACTGCTGAAAAAGATGGCTGTCCACAGAGTCTATATGATGCAGGTTCACAGATAATTGACTGTAAGGTTAAAGTGAGGGAGGAAAAGGAGACCAAGCAACAGGGATGAGCATAGCTTGGAGAGGACTGTCAATTAAAGCAGATTCAAGAACTCAGAGGAGCTTCACAAGGACTGGACTGAGTCTGTAGTCAGAGCACCAAGAACCACAACACACACAGACAGGTCCGGACCACAAGTGTTCCCGCTGTCAAAACACTCCTGAACCAGAGACAACATCATAAGAGTCTCCTGGACTAAGAAGAAAAAGGACTGGACTATAGCGTAGCAGTCCAAAGTCCTGTTTTCAGATGGAAATCAATTTAGCACCTCATTTAGAAATCATGATCCCAGAGTCTGGAGGAAGATCAGAGAGGCCCAGAATCCAAGGTGCTTGAAGTCCTGTGTGATGTTTCTACAGTCTAAGATGATTAGGTGTACGACGTCATCTGCTGGTCTACTGTGAAGTCTACCAGGAGGTTTTGGAGACCTTCATGCCTCATCTGCCAAGAAGCTTTACAGAGATACAGATTTCCTATTCCAGCAGGATTTGGCACCTGTCCGAACACTAAAACCACCGGAAGCTGGTTTGCTGACCATGGTGTTACTGATCCTGAATCCTACAGAGGAGCAATCAAAGAGACCCAAACTTCATGACACCCCAGCAGAGACACAGACTGATTACAACGTCATTCAGAAGACATTTTGGTCCAAAGTGACATGGCCTTTGAGAGCAAATACATCACAAGCAAGATTTAGAATGAAGGAAACGGCATAAGTAAGAAATCCAGATAAAGACAGATGAGCAGCAGAGTGACATGTGCTGCTGTGGGCCAGGAGCAACTTTCTGGGACATTCTCATTTTGAAATACACTTGTATTAATAGCAGCCTCCTGTCTTCTAACATGTTATAGCTTTGACTGTGAACCTTTATAACCTATTTTATTTTCTCTTTGGTGTTTTCTGTGTTTAAGCCCCTTCTTTTTCTCAACCTGGTTCTCTCACGTGTTTCTCCTGTTTTCTTGGGGATTCTGATTGTGAGTTAAGGCTACAATGTCAACCAACGGAGACCAGATGCTACCGATCAACTTGTGAGTTTTTGTTAATTGGGAGGACTAACAGTGTTTTAAGCACTACATGACACGTGAAAACTCAAGTAGATTCAAATCAGACAAAAAAACTGCACATGATGACTCTGAACAGTCAAAATTGTCATATTTTTTCTTTCACAGTGACGGATGGAACTTCAACCACCACTGTTTTTGGTTGTGCAACTGAAAACCTGTGTGTTGATTCGTCAAGCCTGGGTGACTTTCCTTTCTTACAGAGACTTGGTTCTATTAGCAGCCCACCATTTTGTTGTGAAACTGACTTGTGCAATAAACAAACAATAACAACTAATTCAAAAACAACAACAGCTGCAACAGCTACAACAACAGCCGCTGCAACAACAACTGCTGCTTTAACAACCGCTGCACCATCAACAACAGCTGCACCAATACCCCCTACAGCAGCAGGAGCTGTAACAACAACCACTTCAAGAATGGCTGCTGCAACAGCTGCAACAACTGCTGCCGCAACAACCGCTACTCAGACAACAGCTGCTGCAACAACAGCTGCAGCAACAACAACAGCTGCACCTACCCCTGCCGCAACAACAGCAGCAGCTGTAACAACAACCGCTGCAACAACGGCCACTGCAACAACGGATGCTGCAACAATTGCTACAACAGCTTTTGGATCTACAACCTCAGCTTCTCTCACTGAAACCAAATCTACAGTAACTATGGCAACCTCAACCCAATCTGCTCCAGTGACACAATCTACATCAACTGCTAGTGGTGCCTGTTGTATCAGTTTCGTTTGGGTGAATTTGTTGCTTCTTATCTTTGCCACTCTCTAAAACACAGAGTAATCAAAGGTTGTACGCCCTTTGACCTTGACCCATAGCTTAGTCTTTCAGCCTGCTTTAGACTTATTTTAAGGTTAATGGAGTCCTTGAGCCGACATAGTTGAACATGTAACAGAAAACTTAATGATGTATACAGTACACAAATTTTTGGTACCACTTTATTTGAACTCACCCTTTCTAATGCATCATATGCACATTTATAAAGCCTTACGAATGCAATTGGGCCTTGTAGATGCAGTTATAAGGCTTTATAATGTGCTGGTGACGCATTAAAAGAGGTGGATTCATGTGAAGTGTTAGCTTTTTAAAAAAAATCTTCATGTTGTGAGAGTAAAGTCATGACAAAATCATATTTTATTGTTCTGAGATTTAAGTCCTGTTGTTAGAAGAACAAAGCCTTTGTAAAGTTATGTTATTTTCAGCATTAAGTCATTATATTCCAATAATTAGGTGGTTAATTTAGTCAACAGTTAAGCAGGTAATACTTTTTTGAAAGAGGATACAAGTTAATGAGCAGAACAACTTTATATACTATACTGCAGCTTTATTCTCTACTCAGTGTGACTTTAATCTCCATGTATAACAAATTTATTCTCGTAGTATGACTTTACTAAGACTTTATTCATGTAGTGATGTGACTTAATCACAACTTTTGGCCATAATAATATAAATTTCATCCCAGAACAATAAGACTTTGCTTTATTATGACTTTATTCCCCCCAAATCTTTACAAAGAGTCCCTTACTGTGGCTCGGTGCTCTGTCGTACCTACTGCTCTGTCACATAAATATTATTACTTAGATGTACTTAGGTTAACGACATTGGGTATTCTGCACTGTTCAATAAAGCTTTTCTGATTTATGAATTTTTGTGTTAATTTTATCAAGTTTGAGGCAACCTTCACACGCAAAATATTGTGTCCCTTATGTTTAATTATCCAGAGTAATTTGGGCATCATTGTGAAAAAATTTAGAGTAACACCGCTGGAAATTTTGACATTTTCCCTCTGGTATTTTTCCATAATAGTTACATCATTTGTCAATGCTGCAAAGACGTCTTTACTTTCTTGTACCCGTCGAAGTGCAGGAGGACTTTAACCGTTTTCAACTGTCACACTGATTTAAAACTTGACATTTAATGTGAAAACATAGTGGTGTCTGCTCAGTGCTTTCAGAAAGTACAACATGGTCTCACTTTAAGACTTTTTTTTAAACAAAGACAGATTGAACAAGTGACATGAATGTGCTCAGTTCATCTCTTTGGTTTACTGTACAAACACAGCAAATATTCGTACTGAGGAGGCTGCACAGTCAAGGCATTTTTCTTCAGAAGTTAAAGCTCTTCTTTCTTCTTCAAGATTATCTGCCGCACCATTTCAGCTATTTTCGGTCGGAGTTCTTTGACAGGAACTTTAGGTCCCCATGCATCCACCACTTTGCCGTTTACATCAATGAGATACTTCCAGAAATTCCAGTCAGGTTCCTTTCCAGAAGATTCTGCAGAGAATAAGAGAGTAAGTCCACATTAAGGCTTCTGGTTCAGTGTATTCCATTTCAGTTTGTAAGTAATTTGGTATTCATCACTTGTTTTGAGGGCTGTTTGATAGTATTTTTAAACCTGGGCACTTTTATGGCTATTACTTTCCATGATCTACAAAACCCAATTCCATTGAAGTTGAGAAATTGTGATAAACGTAAATAAAAACAAAGTACAATGATTTGCAAATCATTTTCAACCTATATTCAATTGAATACACTACAAAGACAAGATATTTAATGTTCAAACTCATGAACTTTATTTTTTTTGCAAATTATAATTAACTTTAGAATTTCATGGCTGAAACACATGACAAAGAATTTGGGAGAGGGGGGAAAAAAACACTGAAAAGTTTGAGGAATGCTCATCAAACACCTATTTGGAACATCCCACAGGTGAGCAGGCTGATTAGGAACAGGTGGGTGCCATGGTTGGGTATAAAAGCAGCTTCCTCAAAAATTCTCAGTCATTCACAAGCAAGGATGGGGCGAGGTTCACCACTTTGTGAACAACTGCATGAACAAACAGCCGAACAGTTTACGAACAACGTTTCTCAAAGTACAATTGCAAGGAATTTAGGGATTTCAACATCTACGGTCCATAATATCATCAAAAGGTTCAGAGAATCTGGAGAAATCACTGCATGTAATCAGAACGGCCGGAAACCAACATTGAATGTCCGTGACCTTCGATCCCTCAGGCGGCACTGTATCAAAAACCGACATCAGTGTGTAAAGGATATCACCACATGGGCTCAGGAACACTTCAGAAAATACAGTTCGCAGCTACATCTGTAAGTGCAAGTTAAAACTCTACTATGCAAAGCAAAAGCCATTTATCAACAACATCCAGAAACCTCGCCGGCTTCTCTGTGCCCGAGCTCATCTAAGATGGACTGATGCAAAGTGGAAAAGTGTTCTGTGGTCTGACGAGTCCACATTTACAATTGTTTTTGGAAATAGTGAACGTTGTGTCCTCTGGGCCAAAGAGGAAAAGAACCATCCAGACTGTTATTGACGCAAAGTTCAAAAGCCAGCATCTGTGATGGTATGGGGGTGCGTTAGTGCCTAAGGCATGGGTGACTTACACATCTGTGAACGCAACATCAATGCTGAAAGGTACATACAGGTTTTGAAGCAACATATGCTGCCATCCAAGCAACATCTTTTTTGCCCTTCCTGCTTATTTCAGCAAGACAATGTCATGCCACATTCTGCACGTGTTACAACAGCGTGGCTTCGTAGTAAAAGAGTGCGGGTACTCAACTGGCCTGCTTGCAGTCCAGACCTGTCTCCCACTGAAAATGTGTGGAGCATTATGAAGCGTAAAATACGACAACGGAGACCCCGGACTGTTAAACAACTGAAGCTGATCATCAAGCAAGAATGGGAAAGAATTCCACCTTCAAAGCTTCAACAGTTAGACTCCTCAGTTCTCAAACATTTATTGAGTGTTGTTAAAAGGAAAGGTGATGTAACACAGAGGTAAACATGACCCTGTCCCAACTTCTTTGGCACATGTTGCAGCCATGAAATTCTGAGTTAATTATTATTTGCAAAAAACAACAAAGTTTATGAATTTGAACATTAAATATCTTGTCTTTGTAGTGTATTCAATTGAATATAGGTTGAAAAGGATTTGCAAACCATTGTATTCTGTTTTGAATTACGTTTATCACAATTTCCCAACTTCAATTGGGTTTTGTATTACTTTTGTCATGGCTCTTTATAGTTATTCTGACTGCTCATCAAATGACGCTGAACTATAGCAGCGGTCTGTCAGTCCTTGGTAGCAAACCGCTGTCTTGAAAAACAGACTGTTGTTATGGATACAGCTCTTATTTCCAAACCTTTAAAGGATCAACTGTAATCATGTCAATGCACAGTGAGTAGGAGTTGATACTTAAAGTGTATCACGTGAGCTTCTTGTCCTCTAAGGCCACCGTTGTTTCCCCTTATGGGGTGAGCAAGGGAGCATTTCAGTCTAGAGTCTGACTCCTGGATTTTGCAAAATATTCCCATGTCTATGCACTGCAGCAGCATTCTTTACAAGCATGTTTAATCTGATCTGTCAACTGTTTTAAGCAAAGAAATGGAAAAAAAACATCTTATATGACACATAAGCAAACCCAAACCTGTTCACCTGCACATCTTACTCACCCACAAGGTACTTGTACACATTGTTGGCTCCAGTTCCAACAACAGCAATTTTACTGAACAGAGGGAAGGAGACGCCGTAGACTCTTCGCACAAAGCTGTCAATCTCTTTGTCACTCCCCGGCTCTTGATGCCCAAACTGGTTGCAGGGGAAGGCCAGCACATTGAAGTGATATGGTCCAAAGTCCCGCTGGAGCTGCTGCAGGTCTTTGTAGTGTTCCTCTGTGAAGCCACATTCACTGGCGACATTCACCACCAAGGACACCTAAAAGCAAAGTAACCCGAATTAAACTGTTTCAAGCCTTAAAGTCAAAAACAAGGATGAAGAATTGCTGTGACTTTGAAAAACTGATCCCATCCTTGAACATCAGAGGCACAGAACAAGTGTCTGCTGTAATTGGCCTGACTGGCCTTGTTACTGAATAACCACGGTTTTAGATTGTCCCATTAATTCAGCCTCTCTCTAAACTGCAGTTAGATTCTCATACTATTAGCTTTGAAGATAATGTCTGGCTTTCCCACTGAAGACCAACCATACCAAAGACATGCATGCCCCTAAAATCACAGCATAGAAACAGTGGAGTATGTTAGTACAGAAACAACAGCAGCAGCTCGTCCCTTCCCTACATGCAGTGTAGGAGCTGTAAGGTGATAAGTCGGTATGTGTTACGTGGTGTTTGTGGTTGCTGTGGCAACAAACGGGAACTTGGGTCACAGATGAACGCCAGGTAGTTATGAAAAGACGTGGCTTACCTGCAGTCAGGTGGAGAGAGGGGAGCGGGGTTGCAGTAATTTTTGTTGACCGCTTTGCTTTTCTTCGCTTCACTTTGCATCGTATGGCATTACATCATAGCATGGCATTGCTTTGCTTTGGTTTGACTTTTGTTTGATCCTGCCGCGTATCCAAAGAGGTCCTGTGTGTGTGTATACGACCACTAGCTGATGTTTCATTAAAAACACCATAAAGTGCTTTCTAGCCAATCAGAGGCAAAGGGCGGGACTTTCCCCCTACCATCTTACAAAAAACAATATCGCGCCAGAGGCATACGCATAAGCCGAGCAACATCACCACGACTCTCCCGCCGAATGTGCACAACGCTACTGCACAAGTGGTGGAGTGCGTACAACGCTACTGTGCAATGTTGGTTTCAGGAAATGGAGAGTCAGGGGCGGACTCAGGAATTTGGGGGCCCTACGCAAAGGCAGGCATGGGGCATAGGGCCCTCCTTATTCTTTATTCAAGGGATGCACTGATTGTGAAATTATGGGCAATACCTTTGTTTAAAAAAACAATTTGGCTGATAGCTGATGCTTGTTTGTTTTTCATTTTGTTTATTGTTGTTATTTTTTCCAGGGAATCAAAAAATTATCTGTATTACATAAAAAACAACCGGACTGTCTTCAAGTCTCTAAATCTCACAGGAGAGATGAGATGTGAGATAGTGATGCTATAAATATGACAGTTGCTTAAACTGCCCAACAGTACCTAAATTTGATTAAAACGAGCTCAACCCAAAATGTCAGTACATGATAACACACATTAAAGCAGTATTCATTCAAAGCTATCACACCGACGGGGAAGTTAAATATTTTTAATGTTTTTCGTGCATAACTTAATTAAATACTTTTCAATATAGAAAAAAATTACCCCTTGGAGGACTCACTAGCTGTTCATCATCTCCACATGACTGACCCTCCTTAAGGGGAGGGTCGACGACGTATCACTTGCGGTAAAAAATTCAGTCACCTTCTGTCACTTTGATATCAGTTTTTGCTGTCCTCCCTCTTTTCCCCTTTTTTCAGCACCACTGGGGAAACTTATTTTTATCGTCTCTTTTCTTTCTCTCTCTTCCATTCTCTTCTCGTCTCTCTTGGATTGCGCGTTTGTTTTTGTATATTTTGATCCCCCGAGACACACATAATCCGATAAGAACTCTGCCTGCATTCTAGCGAATGGATTTTATCAAAAACATCATTAATGAGGGCAAATAAGTAAAACCTCTATTAACCTAAGTATGAGGGGTTTTAGGGGGCCCCCAGAAACTCGGGGCCCTAGGCAACCACCTAGTGTTGCCTAATGGTAAGACCGCCACTGTCCACAGTATACACAGTCTCTGTTCTTCAGGGGTTATTTATGTACTCAACAAATAAACAAAGCGCCTGACAAAAACTCTTGGTCAACAATTGCATGTAAATCATTTTCTGGAGGCAAATAAACCTGGAGTCAGATTGATCTCAAGGGTAAAATGTGTAAGTAATATTTTAGGATAATAGGAGGGTTAATTTTCACTGAACAGACCAGCCAAACCCGAGGCTTTAATGATCCTAATCAAATGAAGTAATTAACAAAGGCTGAATGATGCCTGCAGTAGTAACAGGTCAATGCTTACTCGGTCTTTTGTATGGGGATTAGAGATAATCCGGTTTGTGTGATCCGTACCTTGTATGAATGAAAGGGGAGCTCTGCAGGCCTCCTGCCACGTAGGCTAACGGGGGCTACATGATGGACCATCCGGACCGAACTAGAGAGAGTCTGATCCTCAGCTGTTAGTTAGGTTACATCTACAAACCAAGAGTTTGTCAAGAGGGAGAAGTGAAGACAAAATCATTCATGCAGACGTGCAGACAGGCTTGTTGGAGTAAATGCGCAAACATGCATGTCATAATCTTACATCGAAAACATGCAGCTTTTCGGACCCAAACTCACCGAACCTCGGTACTTTTCCAGGGACACTAACTTCCCCCTGCTGTTCACCACTTTAAAAGTGTAAAAGTCTTTTTGTTTGCTCTCAGAGAGGCTCAAGAAAGTCAGTAACACGGCGAGCGCTCCAGGAAGCATCTTTGCTCTCCCAAAAGTGCCAACTCAACACCGGAGAAACTTCTCCGGATCCCCCAAATCAAATCTCAAGAGTCAAGCTGCGAGAACCGAGAACCGCGCTCCCTGTACCGACCGGGATTTCAAAATAAAAGCCTTCTTCAGGAAGACTGCGAGAGTTCAGAGGGTCTAAATCCATAGACTGTATATACTATGGACAACTTGGTTCCGCCTCCCGCCTGTACACGGATTTAAAGCCAAATAGCTCTCAGTGTTTCCGGGATTTTTCTTCATTTCCTGAAACCAGCGCTGCGCAGTAGCGATGCCGCGCAGTCGCCGAGAGTCGCTGTGATGAAGCTCGGCTCAGACAGCGTATTTGAGAGCTACGCAATCCCTGAACGCCCATAGGCTGTATCAGGTGTCAATCATAGAAAACACGAACCCCGAAACACGAAAATAACACGAAATAACTTTAAAAAACGGAGCTTCACAGAAAAAAGAGGACTTGAGCACAAACCAGTCTGACAGTAACTACATGTCAACATCACAACCAGGGGGGAGAAAAAATCATGTCTGTGTCATTAATTTATAAAGTTTGTCCACAACTCCATAAGCCTTGCTGGCAGAGGTGGGATTTATGACCTATACTGCAGCCCATCAACAGAGGGCGCTGTTCTCGGAGTGGCTTCACCCAGCAAGGAGGCAGACTCTGTCCATTCTATATACAGTCTATGGGTCTAAATCACGGCTGGTCAAAAATGTTGACTTCCTCGGTTAGATTCAGTTTCCGCGACATTAACTGATTTTATTTATTTATTTATTTATTTATATGTTTGTTGATTTTTACCTCTCTGTCTCATATCTTGTCCTTTCATTGTCTTTTAATACCTTTATTATTTTATTTTTGCTTCTTCTGCCCATCAAACAGCTTGGGTGATGTTCTTTACCAGGAAAGGAGATCTTTTTTTTTTTTTCATAATATTTAGTTTTATTTTCATGTGATCAAACATAAATCATATGAACACATACACATAAATTCAGGACAGAGCAGAAAAAAAGAAAAAGTAAATATAAAAATAAAAAAGTAAATAAGTGCATACATAGATACATACATAAGTAAATAACACCTAAAGTGTACCATAGTGTGGCAGGTTTGTCGGTCTGTTCAGAATCAAAATCATATTATACTTTTTTTTTCTATCCGTATCTGGGATAAATTTTTTATTATTTTTTTTTATTATTTATTTTATTATTTTCTCATATTGTGCCTTTTTTTTACCTTTACATCATTGGTTTTATTTCTCAAAATTTTTTTGTATTTAAATTATGTTTTATTTTATTATATATATATATATATATATATATATATATATATATATATATATATATATAAGCAGAGGCAAAACAACTCATAATCAAGCTGGCGTGCTGGGGATAAATAACCTGTGTTCACTAATAAGTACAGACCTAGAGGAATCATGTTATTAAATTAAAATAGTCAATTACAGGTCTCCATTTTTTCCGTAAAACATCTGATTTTACTTGTATTTTAGTCTTGTTAATGTATTCAGATTTTTTTTCTTCTCTTAATTCTGACATTATCATCTTATTTATAAAGAAAAAACAGAGCGGGTTTTATTTCTCAAGTAAATGCAATTGCTACGTTTACGTACAGTTTTGTTCTTCGTGCTTTTAAATCAAGATGATTCCCCCAAAAAAACACATAAAAGTCCATTTAAAGACATGAAAGTGAATGAGAAACGCTTATTCATCTAGTAGTTCTGTTTTTTCTTTTTTTTTTTTAATATAAAAGTTAATTAAAACGTTAGTGTACTACAGTAGTACAGAGACTGTAGGGCACTTGAACGCCACACTTGACACGCCCCTCTTCATCATCATCACTGGCACTCCCACAATGCAGCGGGGCAAAGTATTAACATGGCGTCAACGGTTGCTGTTTTGAGCAGGGCCGTGGGATTTGAAAAACATTATTTTGTCCAGAACCATGGAGACAGATAATCATTGATCCAAAAAACAACCCTTCAGCTTCAAAGTAAGAAACATCGCTCCCGTGTGTCCTGTAGCGGCTGAATTCACGCCTCTTATCGGTTTTTTTCTGACTTGCTGCTGTGAGGAAACTGAGAGTCTGTGTTTTTATCCTCCGTTAGCTCAGCCGGACGGCCGCCGGGGGCACCGCGGCTAACGACGGTTAGCGAACGGGCGAAGAAGAACCGCAGAGTGGACCATCCCCACGACACCAGAGACGGCTTATGGTTTAATGGTGAGTCCGTTTACTGTGTGTGTGAGACCCGCTCCTCCTCCTCCTCCTCCTCTTCTCTGGGTTCTGGAAGTTGAGCTAACGTTAACTCTGATGCAGTTTCGTTTCTCTCTAACTCGAAACAAACCCGAACACTAACCACGAACAGACACTAGACCGAACCGAACTAACTTATCAGAAACATTTTATTAAAAAACAGCGACAACGAGAAAAGCTAAAGATACGACAGAGTTCAGAATAAACATAATACAGCTGTACTGGAGACTGTTTGTTCTGTGAGATAAGATGGAGTTTAACACTTTAGTTTTCACAACTATAACCAGCAGTCAACTTTAGTGTCTGTAGAGTTGTTAATTTTCAAAAAACGGTTAATTAATCAATCAGTCTGTATTTATATAGCACTTTTCATCGACAACCATGTAGCACAAAGTGTTTTAGACAGAAAAGGGAGTAAAAGAAACAAAGAATACACAAATCTACCCCAACCCAAGATTGAAAGAATACCTTAATCTACACCAATCCAAGATGTAAAGAATACCCCAATCTACCCCAAACAAAGAAACAAATAATACCTAAATATACCCCAACCTAAGATTAAGAGAATATCCAAATCTACCCCAACCCAAGATTTAAAGAATACCTAAATGTACCCCAACCCAAGGTTAAAAGAATACACAAATCTACCCCAACCCAACCCTTCACCCTTCATTCCCACCCCACGATTGAAACGCAACAGAAACAGTATTAAAATGCATAAACTTAAAAAGGGCTTGATTTCACAGAAACAGGAATGTGCACACTGAGGAAACGTTATTTTAGAATTCAAGATAAGGAAACACTAGAGGTTAGGTTAAAATCTAAAAACAAAGTAACAAAGGAAGAAATTTAAGAAATAATAAATATGATGAAATAAAAACAACAGTTAAAGACACTAAAATAAGAGCACCAAAATAGCTCAATAAAAGACGATCCTGTCATTAAAACTAGAAAAGGGATAAATGCTTAAACACTTAAACAAAGTGAATAATATAAAATGAAGTTGAAAGCAAGACTAAAAAGGTGCGTTTTCAGTTTAGTTTTTACAATCATTAAGATTAGGTGCAGTCTTTAGGTCTTCAGGCTATCTATCTATCTATCTATCTATCTATCTATCTATCTATCTATCTATCTATCTTACACACACATTAGAGAGACCTGCAAAAAAAGGAAATATAAACTTCAGCTGCCAAATATCAAAATTTTCCATTTTGGGGTAAAAATCAAACAAACCAACAAAAGTTGAACTCAGAATCACAACCTATCTTATCGGCCAAGTCTGCCTACACACTGGTTTCATTGTCGTACCTGTCGTACCCCTGACTTACAGTTGTGTAGGTGTGAAGTCCTCGGTAGAAATTGCCGTCACGGTGCATAATTGTGAAAAATGGGACAATGTGGAGTTAGGGGGAAAAGTGGAGGGTTTGTTTGGCTGTCTTTGTGTGTCACCAGCAGACATCCTGACATTTATAACATCCAGAGGTGTTTTTTAGAGCACAATGAGCATGTGTCAAAGTTAGTGTGTCACCTTACCAGGATGTGTTGTCATTTTATATTTTCTAGGTTGCTATTAGTTGATTAACAGAAGTTTTCAAGTAGTTAACTTCTTATTTTAAACCTGCGCACAGTGTAGAATGGGCTGAAAAAAGAGACCTGTTACTTTTAGTGAGTTACTGCATTGGCTTCCTGCTAGTTTTGGGTGAAATGTATTTGTACAGTCTCTTACTAACATCTAGACTCGCTTTACTGAAATGTTTCCAGTGAAAAATGCTTCACAGATCTGGGATTGGCTGGATTTATGGGGTCGATTTTTAGTTCTGGACCGACGCAAGGAGGCTGTTTGTTTCATGAGTAAAGTCTTTCCTTTCGGGGCTTTGTGATTTATGAGAACATCCGAAGGTTTGTCTATTTTCCCTTGAAGCAGTGTAAAGCTACGGCTGTGTTTTATGGAAGTAACTCGCCTATATGGCATGGGGAATCATATCCTGACAGCTAAACACACATTTTTCCAACGAATTATGAATTGAGAAGTTGAAGCACTAGTGTGTGTTTGCCTCCTGTTTGCTATCACTTTTAACAGTTCTCTCTCTCTGTCTCTCTTTTTTTACTAAGACTTTAGGTGGCCAGCCTCCCTGGTCTTCCTCAGCACGGCGTTGACCACACCAGGGACACAAGCAGCAGGAAAGTAGGAATGGATGAGTCCAAAAGTCCAGCAAAATCAAGCAAACAGTCTCAGCCCAGAGCGGCCAAAACTTCATCCGGCGAGAAGTCAAACAAGGAGGCTCCTTCTCCGAGAGAGGGCACCAGGTCTGCACCCCGCAGACAAGAAAACCTCACTTCTGCAAAGGATGACCACAATATAAGCAGCCAGGGGAGCCGTGGGCCAGGCAGGATTTTCACAGATCCACCCCAGGACAAGAGGAGAGGACGGCCCTCCAGGCTGACCAGACTGTCAGGAAGGACAAGTTCAGGGGAGAGAGGAAAGGGGAAAGTGGCGAGCCCCCAACAGCAACTGATGGCACAGGCAGTGGACTACAGGGCTTCTCTGTCTGCAGACAGCAGCCCTTCAGCAAACAGAGAGACCAGCCCTCCTGCAGCACTGGGTACACCTGAGAAAGGTTTCGCAGAGAAGGCCAAAAGTTCCACTGCAGCTCCAGCAAAGGAAAAATCCCAAGGTGGGTTTTTAAGATGCGTTTTTGCAGAGATTATTTAGGCTTCCTCCACTCATGCATCTCTAATCTGCTTAATCTTTGCTGATCTTTGGATGAAAGCTGCTGCACTGATGCATCAGTCTGTGGAAGAGAGCACAGAGAGGAGGCCCAGTTTGGAGGACTGCCCTTTGACAGAGCAACAGCTGGGCCTCCGACAGGCGGAGGAGCGCCTCTACAGAGACTACATCCACCGACTCTTGAAAGTAAGAAAAAAGACCTTTTAATACACCGAAGGGATGACTTAATCAGGCAGCTTCACTGATGAACAGAAACAGATATCTGATCAAACATCTGTTTGTTTGTTCTGAGTGTAATAATCTAAGTCTGAGCGAACGACAACAGATAAAAGAAAATGAGCAGATGTTATTTTTGAGAATCTAACTGAATAATCAACCTTCCTTTTGAGGAAACGATGAATCACACCGTTGTTATTATTTCAACTTAAAAAAGGTATTTAGATGTAGTTCTGTGACGCGGAGGCAGCGATAATTAGCAAGAACCTACACGTTCAGTCTGACACCTCGCCAGCTGGCCTACCTGCACTCGGCAGCTGTGTTGCTTGTTTAGTTTCTTCCTGTTAGTCTGATAACATGTTTTGCTTTCACTTGTGCGATGTTCTCCTCTCTCTCTCGGTTTTATCTCTTATATTTGTGATCGGTCAAACTACAGAGTCATCACAAGTGTCATGGGACCGTGTGTTTGCAAAATCCCTTCAGTCCGGATAACTGAAGACGGATAGAGAAGCTGTCTTGTGATGCATGCGTCTGATTGGTTGTGATTATGATGAATAAAGGAGGGAAAAATCCAGCTGTAGAGAACCTGCAACAATAATCTCAATTTTCCTTCTTCTTTGATTGAACAGCAGTGTCCAGAGTATCCCAACTATCAGTATTTATGCAAGCTCTGCTCCGTGCACATCGAGAACATTCAAGGAGCACACAAACACATCAAGGAGAAGAGGCACAAGAAGAACATCATGGTACGGTGATTTTATATTTACCGATACCACAGCGTGAGCCTCATCATCGCCGATCTGAGCGGGTTTATCGTACAGTCAGAATGATGCGTTTTGTGTTACATCAGGAGAAACAGGAGGAGAATGAACTGCGTGCCCTGCCGCCCGCCTCCGCTGCCCAGCTGAGGGCGGTGGATGCAGCTGTCCTCGAAACAGCGAGAGAGCACGGGATCTCGGAGGAGGACTTTGAGGTTCGGAAGGCCGTGGTTCTCAGGATGGAGGAGATCATAAAGAAACACCTCTCAGGTTCGCTACTCCGGGTTGATAATAGACTCGTCAAGTCGACTTCACGCGCTCTTTGAGTTGATCATCTTTTCTTTGCGTTTCTAGCTTGTTCTCTCCGTCTCTACGGTTCCTGTCTCACCCGATTTGCCTTCAAGGCGAGTGATATCAACACTGACGTCACCCACCCACCCTCAGTAAGTCTTATTCCTCTGGTTCAAAAAATCTCGATGCACTTTCTTCTAAAGCGTAAAACCGTGACAGGAGTAACTGAACTTTACAAACACTCTTTCTGTCTCTGTTTCCTTTTGTTTGCTCAGATGACTCAACCCGAAGTCCTGATTCAAGTGCTGGAAATCCTCAAAAACAGCCGTAAGTTTCAGGAGTTCAGAAGTTTGTCCTTCTCTGACACTTTCACAACCTTTTTCTCAATCTGTCGATTCATGTCTCAAACAGCATTTCCTAAAAAGAGTTTCAGGTTTTCCGGGTCTCGATCTGCTTTGACTTCAGACAAATATTCCTCCTTGAGGACCTCAAGTTCATGAACCAAATCCCTGTTTTGTTGTTCAGCTGTTCCGTCAAAGTTTATTGTTGATGCAACTTTCCTCGAGGTCATTTTTTCTGAGTTTCTCTCTGGCTGTTTTTTTTTTTTTCTCTTCTAGCTGAATTTTCTGAGGTTGAGTCTGATTTTCATGCCAAAGTTCCTGCTGTCTTCTGTCGGGATGTTAGCAGGTCAGTATCGGCTCGAATGCACAAATGCAGCCTTTGGTGATTATTTTGGAAGTTTCCTCTCACTAGTTCTGGTCATACTTGCTGAAAATGTGGCTGCAGGGTTACATTAGTGAGTGTATCACCGTATAATGTTACAATAATAAAAAAGAGAAATGATGTCTATGATTGTTTTCGTATTTGCAGCTACATCTTCTCCTGATAGTTCTCGACACCTGTTTACAGTCTGAACTAAGCCTTGGTTATCCCCTGTAAAAGTCTGCTGCTGTTCACTTGTTCACCCGGACTCTGTTTGTGTGCAGCGGCCTGATGTGCAAAGTCAGTGCGGGCAATGATGTCGCGTGTCTCACCACCAATCACCTGGCAGCCCTGGCAAAACTGGAGCCCAGATTGGTTCCTCTGGTGCTGGCCTTTCGTTACTGGGCACGGGTAAGTCTGACACCAACGGTGACTCATCAGCTGAAACAAGAAAGGATAAAGATTAGGTGAATTTAGTTTTTTAGTTTGAAGGTTTTATTGTCCCTCGCTGATGTCCAGATGTTAAAGAAAGGAGTGAAAATAGAGCTAATGCGTCTGTGCACCTCTGCAGCTGTGCCACATCGACTGTCAGGCTGAGGGTGGCATCCCCTCCTACTCCTTCGCCCTCATGGTCATCTTCTTCCTGCAGCAGAGGAAAGGGCCCATCCTCCCCGTCTACTTGGGCCGCTGGGTAGGTGACGTGTTTTTTTTTTTCAACCTCACGCTCCTTTTCCTTACACAACAGCAGATGATGTTAGACCTTAAAGGAACAGAGGAAAGCGCCAGCTGGTGAAGCGCAATTTTCTTGTGATAAATTTGAATTTAATGAGCTAAGAGGAGCGCCAGACGCCACATTAGTTAGACGACAAAGAGACTCGAGGACTACAGAAGTGCACATACAGTCAAATCATTTTTCATCGTTTTACTTGTCTGATTTCTCCTGATGGTATTGGACTGGATTCCTTTTTCAGATTGATGGCTTTGACGTGAAACGTGTTGACGAGTATCATCTAACTGGAATCGCGCTGGACATGTTTGTCCGGTGGGAGCACAGACCTCAGAGCTCCACAGACGGACACAGGGGGGAGAACCGAAACGAGTCCAGAGCGGAAGGAAGAGCGAAAGCAGAGCAGAGAAACCCTGACGACGCTCACTTCGCTGAAGGATTGGTGAGTCTTCCTGCAGCGCACAGCGAAATCACGTCAAAACGGTTCAGATGACCTCCATGAAATTCAACACGTTTGTGGTCGCCTTGTTTCCAGTCTCGGCTCACCTTGAATCTGGGGAAAGGCGTGTCCCTGGGCCAGTTGTGGTTGGAGCTCTTACGGTTTTATACCCTGGAGTTTGCTCTTGAAGAGTACATCATCAGCATCCGCTTAAAGGAGCTCCTTTCCAGGGAGGTGAAGAACTGGCCTCGCCGTAGGCTCGCTATCGAAGGTACGAGACCCCCTTGCTAGACTCCTCCTCCTCATGGTCTGTCAAAGTGAGAGAAACTGACTGTTTTCATCTGTTTGCAGATCCTTTTGCCTTGAAGAGGAATGTGGCGCGCAGCTTGAACAGCCAAATGGTGTTCGAGTACATCCAGGAGCGCTTCCGCACCGCTTACAAATACTTCGCTTGCCCTCAGAGACGGGGCGCCGCCGGGTGTCAGAGAAGAGGGAGAGCAGTGAAGCAAGGTGCAAAGGCGGATGGCGTGGAGAAGACGGAGGCGGCTTTCACGAACAAGAACGAAGAAGACGGGAGAGGTGAAAGAAGTCCGAGCGCTCAAAGAGGGCGCCAGGGTTTGAGAGAGGACGAGGAAGCCGACAGCGATGAGGAAGAGGGTCCGGATCCGTCCAGAAAGAAGGACGAGAAGACTTTAGATGCTAGTCTCATGAACATGGTTCTCAGTGAGGGGAACAAACCTTCCTTCTCTCCTAATGGCCTGCTGGACAGTGACAAAGAAGGGGAGAAGGATGAAGAGGAGGAGGAGGAGGAGGAGGAGGAGATGGAGGAAGAGGAGGAAGAAGTTAGCAGCGGTCCGGACAGAGATGAACCTGTTGCATCAGAGGATCTGCACTATGTGTTTGATAAGATGATCTTTACTGGTGGAAAGGTAATGACGATCAATACTTAATCATGTTTAGATAAAGATAAAACTCTTGTGGTCCAATCAAAAGTTAGAAGCTTTTAAATATTAACAAACTTTATGAAAAACTCCGTAATGACTTCTGTTTACTTCCTCTGTCGGCGGTTATCGTGTTCTGTCTGATCTGTGAATATAAAACTGTTCAAATGAAGCTCCAGCGAACCCGTCAGAGCTGATGGTTGAGGCGCTAACTTTAGATCTGTCCCCGTATTGTGCGCTTGTTTCCTCCGAGTGTCTTCCTGAGTCGTGATCTGTCGAGTTTTCCTCCCTCCAGCCTCCCACCGTCGTTTGCAGCATCTGCAAACGGGACGGCCACCTGAAGGACGAGTGCCCCGAAGACTTCAAGAAGATCGAGCTGAAGCCTCTGCCGCCCATGAACAACCGCTTCAGAGATATTCTGGATGGCCTCTGCAGACTCTGCTACTGTATGACTGGATTTATTTTCATCTGTTCGTCATGTATAGATATTAAAATACTTGAGATTTTTGTTTTAGAAAATTCATCTGAGGGGTAAAGTTGACTCAAACTGTTTGAAGTCGATAAACTGGTTTATTGTGAGTGAATCTCTGATCTGCTGTCTGTAGATGAACTGTCACCGACACACGCAGAGCAGCAGAAGAGAGAGCAGATCCTCGCCAGCCTGGAGAGATTCATCAGGAAGGAGTACAACGGTGAGCGTTCCAAAGTCACTGTCGAGAGGATTTTCCTCCAAGAAGGCGACATCCAAACAGTCAGTTTGGATGATAAGAACGTCTGAGGATGACGTTAAAAGTTGTTTTTCACACTAAGCTCTTGTTAATCTTGGTGTAAATCCACAGAAAAAGCTCAGCTCTGCTTGTTCGGCTCCTCCAAGAACGGCTTCGGCTTCCGGGACAGCGACCTCGACATCTGCATGACCCTGGAGGGTCACGAGACTGCAGAGGTAGGCCGACACGAACTCCTCTTAACATCTGAAGTCTGGTCTTTTATATTCTTTGACTCGATCGTAAATCTTGTCCAAACAGAAGCTGAACTGCAAAGAGATTATCGAAGGTCTTGCGAAGGTGCTGAAGAAGCACACAGGTGAGTTAAGGGCTTCACTGATTGGCTGCTGTGGTCGTGCTGCTAACCGGCTCAGACCTCCTGCTTTTCTGACTGCAGGTTTGAGGAACATCCTGCCTATCACAACAGCCAAAGTGCCTATTGTGAAGTTTGAACACAGACAGAGCGGACTGGAAGGAGATATCAGCCTTTACAACACGCTGGTGACTAACCAAACCTCTCACACTCCAGCTGTTTGTCCCGTTCAGATTCTTCGTGTCGCTAATTCTCCGAACCGCTCGTGTCTGCAGGCTCAACACAACACCAGAATGCTGGCTACGTATGCAGCTCTCGATCCGCGCGTGCAGTTCCTCGGATACACGATGAAGGTCTTTGCGAAGGTTCGTGGGAGCGGTGAAACTCTGGGGGGTTCGTTTCTTTGGTTTCTTTCTCGGTGATCAAATCCTCTCTCTGCTCACAGCGCTGTGACATCGGCGACGCGTCCAGAGGAAGCCTCTCTTCTTATGCATACATCCTGATGGTGCTCTACTTCCTGCAGCAGAGGCAGCCGCCGGTCATCCCCGTCCTGCAGGAGGTAAATGATGTTTCTTAAGGTCAGCAGATATGAGCCACACTCGAAACAGAACATGGGAGCTGAACTAAACTCCGCTGTTTGATGCTTTTTCAGATTTTCGATGGGAAAACTGCTCCTCAGCGGATGGTGGACGGCTGGAACGCTTTCTTCTGTGACAACCTGGAGGATCTGGTGAGTCGATTAAAGACGGTTTCGTGTCGTTTGGCGTCGAATCATCCGGCTCTCTTCTCATGACCTTTCTTTCTCTGTCCTCGCAGCGTCGGCTGCTCTTGGATCTGCAGCCGAACACGGAGTCGGTGGGAGAGCTGTGGCTGGGGCTCCTGCGCTTCTACACCGAGGAATTCGATTTCAAAGAGCACGTCATCAGCATCCGCCAAAAGAAACGCCTCACCACCTTTGAGAAGCAGTGGACCAGCAAATGCATCGCCATCGAAGGTGCTCGCACAGATCCTCTGATTCTCACTGCTCAGTTTCTCTGTTTTTCTCCCTCTCACTCGTGTACATCCTCTCCTCAGATCCCTTTGATTTGAATCATAATCTCGGTGCTGGAGTGTCACGAAAAAGTAAGTTCAGCATCCGCCATTGCAGTGAGACGTGATGTTTCTGTCTCAGATTCTTGGATGAGCGATCTTTGGTTGAAGAAACAGAAGTTCATGTCTTCTTAAGTCCATCTGTCTCTTCTTTCTGTCCTCAGTGACAAACTTCATCATGAAGGCTTTTATAAACGGGAGGAAGTTGTTCGGGACTCCGTTCTACCCGGTACCCGGCACTGAAGTGGTACGTCGTTCTACCTTATTGAAGGTTTCAGTCACATCTTTTCAGTGTCTGAGGAAACTGTTTGGATTGATCACCTCTGCCGTTTCCCTCACGCTCTGCTGCAGGACTACTTCTTCGACTCGAAGGTGCTGACAGACGGCGAGTTGGCGCCGAACGACAGGTGCTGCCGGATCTGCGGGAAGATCGGACATTACATGAAGGACTGTCCGAAGAGACGCAGGTTGTCCCCCAATTAATTCTCAGAGCTATTTCTGGCATGTCGGTCGATTTCCTCGAGGAAAAAAAAGATATTACTGACAGTAATAAATAATTCATGAGTTTGCACACCCTCCTCTTCTTCTCCGTGCAGTTTCACACGATTCTGTTGCTACACAGCAAAAATAAAGTTTATTCACAACGTCAGAGTAGAGGTGAGGTTTCTGTAGATCTGTTTTATGAATGTTATGAGTTATCTGACTTAAATGATTTTTTTTTCATCTTAGAAGCAGCTGCAGAGAAAAAAAAAATTACATGGCAAAAAAAAAACGTAGTCATAGTCCCTAAAATTGATTCCCGTGCAACTTAATTCTTTAAAAAACACAAACTTGAGCTGTTTTGTTCACTAAACTGATTTACGTTTTTAAAAAGTCACATTTAGGACGACTGAGAGGGGCCGCACATCACTTTTTCACATCACTGTAAGAGCTTCGGCTTCAGTTTGATGATAATACACAATAATTAAGTAGCAGGTGTCACTCAGAGTAAAGTATCTGGAAATCCTAAGACTCACCCAGCTCTACTGTACTACTTCCTTCAGAGTCAGGTCCAAACATAAGCTTTTTTTAGCCTCCATGGTTAAACCAGGTGTGGAGGGGCCCAGTTTGGTCTCATTAGAGGCCCCTAAATGCGTCTTATTCCTGCCCTTGATACTGAAGCTGTGTTGCTGTTATTGAGATACTTTCCAAACGAATGGAAACAAAAGGACAGAGATGGAAAAGACATGTCGAGGAACACAGGAACTCCTACTTCGTCTTACAGCTGTCAGAGTAGGATCAGAAGCCAGCGGAGAGTTAAAAACAGAGACAGCAGACAGGAAAGACCCGCAACACGGAGAGGAGAGGATTACAGATGAGTCACAAAATCAATTAGCAGTTTGTTTGAGGTGCAGGAGTTTCATTAATCTACATGTTTACAGTGAGAGTCTGGGGTTCACTCTGCCCTGATGTCTTCACTCTGTTAGGATCAAGAAGAAGGAAAACGACAAAGACGAGGACGTGAAAGAGGAGGAACGGGAGCCGAAAGACAGACGCTGTTTCCAGTGTGGGGACACGGGCCACGTACGGAGAGACTGTCCTGAGTATCGCCACCTCAAACAGAGAGCTGCTGGAGCGCCAGGTACTCAAAACCTGTCCCCGAAATAAACTTTAGAAAGAGTGACTAAAAGACCGAACATTTTTAAAGTGAGGGCGATGATTACGACCTTCTTCTTCTTCTTCTTCTTCTTCTAGCTCCTCATATGGTACGAACTATCGTGAGCTCCCAGTCGATCCCCATTCCACAGGCAGCTGCAGACGGCCCCGGGAGGACCAGACAGCCCTCCGAATGTGTGAGTAAAGGAGTCAGTGGTGCTCACATCCACGTCTGAAAGTACGGTGTGCTGAACGGAGACGGTAACAAACGTAAAGAAGAGAAGATCAAATCCACCAAACACTCCTCAAATAAAAATATCACCACATGTGACAAATACTGGACCAGCGCCGTTACCGAGCTCTCCATCATGTGCAGAAACAGACACGTTCTCACTTCTGATAACGACTTTTAACTCCTTGTTTCTTCTTCTTCCTCACCAGTCCGACAGCCGGCAGACTCCTCCCTACTCCCCGCAGACTACAGCTGTCCCCCAGAGTTCCTCCCAGTCCTCCAGCTCCCCTCAGCCCTCCCACAGTAAGACCAGCTGTACTGTGAAGCAGGCTCCTCACCCCCAGGTCCCCCTGTCTCTCTTTAGCTTCCCCACCTCTCACCCCAGCCAGTACCACCCGGGGGCGCTCACCGCACTGGGGCTCATCCCTTCTCACCAGCACCAGTCTCACCACTCCCAGGGGCAGCCTCATCACCCAGCCCACATCCCCTCCACCTCTTGGCCCATCCACGGCCCGGTCCTCACCTCGTCCTCCTCCACCGCCCCCTCCCCACCTGGCCTAAAATTCACCCTGCGTTCGGCTTCAGGGAACGGGAGTCCCACGGGCTCAGGGGGCAACCCCAACCCCATGAACCTGAACGACCCCAGCATCATCTTCGCCCAGCCGGCGGGGAGACAGATGGGCATCAGCGGGCCAGGACGGGACGGGCACTGGCACAACCACATGGCACAGCCTGGGTCACTCATGGGCAATGGCACTGTAGTCAAGTCAGGTATTCACCGGGTGAACTTTGGTGGCACCGTCTGTGTTTGGGTCTTTCCTGTCCCCCAGTTCTGTGTTAACGCTCGTGTACATTTCCCCGACCTGGTCATTTCTTTAAAGTTTAACTCCTTGATTAACAAAAAAAAAACCATCCAATTAAAGCAGAGTTCACAAATCCTGCAACTTTATACTTAGATTTTCATGGTCAAAAAAACCTCTCACTAGTACCACATCCTTGAAAAGTCTTAGAAAACTGGATTTTTAGAATTAAGGGACGAATGTGAGGACATGAAAAACAGCGAATGAATGGTTTCACAGGGGTAACATGGGAAGGCTCGTCACAGACTTGGTATAAATCTACTGTATCTGAGGCTGTGAGACTGAGCAGTCTGAGAAACGGACTGAAACTGATACTGAAGCTTCTGTTTGACCTCCAACAGCAAACCAGACCGATAGTTTCTCTGCTGTATTTTTTTATAGCCTGAAACTTTGTGGAGAGCAGCTTTCAGTCCAAGTGTTTGATGCGTTTCACCGTTAAAAGACAGCAGGATGAGATATTTGTCTGAAACTGTATTTTCAGAAGGACAGGAGATAAAATATAGAAGGAACCAAAATGGATTCAGACTAGAAGAAGCTTTAAAAAAGTTAAAAAGCCTCAAATTTGATCTGGAAAGCTTTTTATTTTCCCCGCGACTTTAACCCTTTGGAGAGAGTTTCTGAGACATTATAAAGTTTAAAATATTTCTTATTGATGGGGTGTAGAGTTCACAGTACAATATAAGTGTCTGATTTGATCGAGTCTGGGCCACGACAGCAACATGAGAAAGTTAGGAATCACCCTACTGGTCGTTCACTGGTTGATCAGATCACGTTTGTGAATCCTTCCTGAGACGTCAGCTGTGTCTCTTGGCAACCATGTGACCCTTCGTCGTCGAGTGTATAGAGTCTAAAACTCTCAGAAAAACTGTTCCCTTCCTGCCAAAAACTTGATTTCGACTTCTCTCTTGGCGTAAATCTTCCCTCATTTCTTTTCCTCGTCCCTGACTCGTGTTCTCTTCTTGAGTTTTTGTTTTGTGTGTTTTTGATTTTGTTCCCGCAGATTCAGGCCACCCAGCCCAGTTTGTAAATGTGAGCCAAGGCTCTCGATTGTGGGAGCACAACAAAGCACCGCAGTACGCCCTCTCGCCATCCTGGCCCTACAGGATGCCCCAGAACTTCATCCAGCAGGGGAACGGAGGCTACCAGCCCGGCAAACCCTTCGTGACCCAGGGTAAGACGTGATAAACGGTTTCTCTTTTTTTACGCTGCGGAGAGAAACGGATCATTTCTACGTCTGGATTTCACTTTTTTGCACTTTTGCTCTAGGCTCTGTGGTGCATCCGAACCCCAACTTCCCGCTGGTCCCCCACGCCCGGCATCAAGTAAATCTGAACTTCATCCAACAGAAGAAGTGAGCCCATGTCTCTTTTTAAGTAGATGTACGGTCAGTACCATAACCAGGCAGAATCATTTACTCTTGGCATCATTTGATCACAAGACTTTTTAAGATGAATTTTATCATTTTTGTACAGTTTTTATGTTTTGTCTCATTACATTGATTTGTGATACAAATGTCAAATATTTTAATACCCCCATTTTTGAGGGGGTCCAAAAAGTGTTTTTATTTTATGTGTAAAGTAAGCGAGGAAAAATGTAAACCTTTATTTTTATTAGCTGTATTCATACTTTGCTTGCCAGAAGAAGATGAAGGCTTTGAATAGACGTTTGTTTTAAAAACAATCTAACATGTCACCCTAAGTATGTAGTGCCAAAAGCAGGGATAGCGAGAAAAAAGGGAAAAAAACCTAAAATTAAAAAAGAAAAAAAGCTACAAAAAAATAAAGAAAAAAGCAAACTATGTGTGTGTGGTGTGGCTTCATCTACGACGAGTGTTTGTTTACATGGTGACGGGGCTGGAAATCATCTTTATGGAGGGTCCGATTGTAGTTCCACTTCTGTCGAGTTTGTTTAGAGCGATTTCAATTTTCTGCATAATACAGAAAAACGGCTCTTTGGCATCATTCATTGACTCATATGATCCTCATGCTGTCATAAGCTCTACACACTTGTTCATTCAGTGGTGTCTGCATTGTGCGTGTGTCTCATTCAGACAGCAACTGAGCGCATTAATTAACTCTGAATCATCTTAAATCATTTTATTTCAATACAAATGTTTCTCTTTTAATGTGAGTGGACTTTTTAAGGAACCGTGTAGATGGAAGAAACCAGTCTGAGTTTAGTTTCTGGTTTTTTTTTTCAGTCTCAGGAAAAAAAACCTTAAAGTTTGGGTAGTCAGGATCTGAGGAAGTTCCAGTTTTTAGGAGAAATCTTGAATGTAAACTCTACCCCTCCCAACCAGTTTTCCCCTCAGCTCCTCCTCTCCCCTCAAGCCCCGCCCACAAACAGATGCTCCTGCTCGCTCGTATCGTTCCAATTAAATTCAGATATAATGCAGATAAATCCTTCAGATCATTACAAATGGGGCCCAGTCAAGGTGAAAGTCAAAAGCATTGGTGCTACTGTAGATGCCAACAGACTACCAGCAAACACAATGTTTGCAGGACTTCTACAACTAGGATAAAGTGACATAGTCCAGGACCCGAGGGAGGACAGTTTAGCGATGGCGCTACAACACGCTACAGCAGGTCCGTTTGACAAGAAACACTTCTGTTACAGACACTTGTCTTACTTTGTTAAAGCGGTTTACCTGTCCAGCAGAAAGGTTACAGGGTCACCAAGATCCCCAAGCGTCCCCCATCGTTTATGTTGACCCGGCTTTTTAGCTCTTGTCCGGTCTACCTCCGTTTTAAGCGCCCGTTATTCCTCCAGAGTCTCCGGTATTTAATTTGTTTTCTTGCTTGTGTCGGCAGCCGTGGCCAAAGGAGGATTCAGACAATTTTCCGAACTTTCTGGTTGGTTTCTACTGTCCGATATTGTAGCACGCAACAGTCAGAAAGAGCGGGCCGCTCAAAAATGTTTAAATGTTGACTACACAGATGTAAGAGAACACGGAGGTATCGTTATATTACCAAATGTCATCAATAACTAAAAGCTATTGACTGATATTAAAAGATTTTTTGAAAATAAACAACAAAAAAAGATGCTTCTTTAACAGATTCCTGCCTACCGCAGCTTTTATGGCCAAAACGCCAAATTTGAGGCATCAAAAGGGATTTCCAAAAAGTAGATGATAACACACCTACTCAGACTAAACTCAGTCTGAGAGTTCGATGTGCTTGAAATGAAGCTTCAACTTGTTTGTTTTCCCTCAAGTGTCTTTAAAGCTTAGAAACGAGGGCAGGGCAGAGAGGAGTGACCTTGACAGCAGGATGTTATTGGTCAGGATGTCCCTGAAAATGACCAAAGTCTTTCGAGCTGGGATCAGGTGAACTTGGCTCTGGTTTTCTCTCATCTTTGTCCTTGTTCAGCTCCTCTGCAGGTAAGAGGAGAAAGTCTGGAGTTATTTTTCACGGAGTAAAAACAAAGTTTAATATGTCTGAGCAGGGCTGCTCAGGAAACGCTGAACTTCTGATGAATCGTTAGAGATCTTTGTAATCGATCTGTCAGAATCAAAGACAACTAAGAGTGAAAATCAAGATGAGACTAAATTCTATGAAAGTGCTTTTAAAGATCAGAAATGAGGCAAAGATTTGAGACCCTGCTCTGGTGCTCTGACTCACACCTTCATCACACCTGTTCATGTTCTCATTCTCCTTCCTTCGCTCAACACTAATAAGAAACGGAAACACGCACTAATCCGTCGTTGCTCCCTCACCTGATCTGGATCATTTTTGTCTGAAAACATCTGGAGGAGCAGAGAAAAAGTTGGGAACTTCAGAGGAACGTTATGTTTCAGAAACAGGTGAGTAATCTCAGGTCGACTCAGTGTCCCACTGAAGGTCAGATCGAGAGCTGAGGACTCGTCCTCCACTGATGTCGGGGTGGACGGCTGCCAGTCGCACAGCTCATCCCTCACAGCTGAGGAGAGCTCAGCCTGACTGTCGGCCGTGAACACGCCTGCCTGAAGAAAAGAAGCAGCAGGAGTATCTTCAGTTTTGAGTTTGGGATTATTCTGCTGTTTTTAACCACAGGCTGAACAAATCTATCACAAACCTGCTGCTCTGTTGGCTCCAGGTCTTTGGTCGATGGTTTGGACTCGTGCTGAATCCTTGGATGGATATATGACCGTGAGCGATCACCAGAGGGCGCTGTCACACAGAGTCTGTCAGGTCCTCTTGTGGTTTATCAGTTTCCATAAACATCGAATGTATCAAAGAGATCAATAAATATATTTGTTAAATTTTAAGGACATTTTTTCATTTTGGGGGGGGTTTCAGTAGTAAATGAAATAAACATTTCAGCTCCAAAAAATGTGAATTTTCTGGCCATAATTTGTTATTTCAGGTATTTAAGGGTTAAGAGATCCAGCAGTGAGTGCTGCAGCCGGCAAAAATGTTTCTTTATTTACTAATTTAGGTTTAATTTGTTATTTAAATCTACTGTGAAGAGCTTTTGACTGATTATGAAATAAACTAAAATTAGCAGTGATATGTTTCTATGGTGTGAAAAAGTCACAAACACACTTTTCCATAAAAAGAACACGTGCATGTAAGATATAAAATCTGTTTCAGGAGAGGAAACGAGCAGCAGCCGTCACCTGGTTCAGTTCTCTCAGGGAAGCTCCTCTCCTGTCCATGATATTATAAGATCGACGTTTGCATCCTGCACATAAGGAACAGAAACACGTCGATGCAACACACTCTCCAGACCTCAGGGAACACATGCGTCTCATCTTTTTCCTAATGCATATTCATTCATCCTGATTTTATACGCTTCTTATTTTGCACATATATATGGTGAAGTTTAAGGGAAAAAAAGATCCCAAATGTAGCACAACAACACATTTCTCAGCAGACTAATGCCTCAGAACGAGCGTTTCTACTTTACTCACTGTTGTGGCTCCTCAATAAACTGCTTGACAATAATCCAATAATCTTGACAACAAATCTGGGGACTGTATTTTCCGGACGTGTATTTCTGAGCCATGGAGCACACGATGAGATCAGGGGTCGATAATATTTCAGGAACAGTTCAATCTTGCTGCTCTTGTTTTCTGAGGCACACAGCTTCCTGTTTATCCTGTTTGCACCATGGTTACCTCTTAGTATGTCCCCCTTGAGCTGCAGCACTTCACACACACTGGGGCTTAATGCACTGGTTTTATTTTAAAGTGTGAAAAGGTTTAAGGAGAGCAGCAGGTAAAGGGGACTCCAAATTTAGTAGAGGAGGTCAATTTGATGGTTTCTTGTCTTAAGTCTAAAGTTTTGCTAAAAGCTGTAAATTGATGTCGAGGAGTAAAAGAACAAAATCAGACTGACTGCTGTGAATATTTGGTTTATTGAAATAAACATTTCAGTGAATCAGAAATGTAAGTAAATCTCTGAGGACTGGTGTCAGCCTGGCCGTGACGGTGGGGCTGAAGGGTCCTCTGGAGACCCGATGTTCTCAGTGAGCCTCCCGAGGTATCATGCGCCTTCCACAAATGTAAGACCTTGACGCTTCACAAAGATGGTCGTTGAGCAACTCTGCCTCTGTAGGTGGAGACACACAACACAGAGAAATGCCGATTTAAAACGATGGTAAAAAAATCAGGAACAAAAGGAAGTCTTTTTTTTTTTTTTTTACCGCTGCAGTTCATCTCCATGCAGTGTTGGCTCTTCAGGTAGTTGTTTGGCTGTCCGGGGCCCCAATCGTCAAAATCATACATTGTACCGTCACTCCACAACCAGCAGCCCTCCTGAAAAAAGAGCGTTAGTCAGTGAATCATCAGCACTTTTTTTCCCATCAAAGCCACCAACCACGGTCTTTTCTGGGAGTCCCTGTGCTTCCTCATCCCTCATCGTAGGTTCCTCTGGATCAGACGGTATGGAATTACACTTGTGGTTTGTAGCATTAATAACACATCCACGCAGCTGTTAGCCTTGTATGTTATTTAAAAGTGGGGTAGGCAGGAATCCGTTAAAGAAGCATCTTTTTATACAAAAAATATACAAATAATCTTCTAATATCAATCAATAGTTATTAGTTATTGATGACATTTGGTAATATAACGATATCTCTGTGTTCTCTTATGTCTGTGTCGTCAACATTTGAACATTTTTGAGCGGTCCGCTCTTTCTGACTGTAAACAAAGCCGTTCTCCACCTCCTCTAACCTGATTGGTTGTGAGGCAGACGCTGCTCCCCCGTGTCGTTCAGTAGCCCAAACAAAGTTAGCGTGCTACAATATCGGACAGTAGAAACCAACCAGAAAGTTCGGAAAATTGTCGGAATCCTCCTTTGGCCACGACTGCCGACACAAGCAAGAAAACAAAGTAAATACCGGAGACTCTGGAGGAATAACGGGCGCTTAAAACGGAGGTAGACCGGACAAGAGCTAAAAAGCCGGGTCAACATAAACGATGGGGGACGCTTGGGGATCTTGGTGACCCTGTAACCTTTCTGCTGGACAGGTAAACCGCTTTAACAAAGTAAGACAAGTGTCTGTAACAGAAGTGTTTCTTGTCAAACGGACCTGCTGTAGCGTGTTGTAGCGCCATCGCTAAACTGTCCTCCCTCGGGTCCTGGACTATGTCACTTTATCCTAGTTGTAGAAGTCCTGCAAACATTGTGTTTGCTGGTAGTCTGTTGGCATCTACAGTAGCACCAATGCTTTTGACTTTCACCTTGACTGGGCCCCATTTGTAATGATCTGAAGCTCTCTTCGCTTATCTATCAATACGAGCGAGCAGGAGCGTCTGTTTGTGGGCGGGGCCTGCTGGAGCAGAGAGGGAGGGTAGAGGAGGAGCTGAGGGTAAAACTGGTTTGGAGGGGTAGAGTTTACATTCAAGATTTCTCCTAAAAACTGGAACTTCACCAGATCCTGATTACCCCACCTTTAACCCTACTTCTTTATTGTCCCTCGTTACAGCTCCAGAGGACGGCACGTCGTATGTTAACCACTCACCTCTGCTGCATCGTAGCCGCCAAGCCAAGCTTGTTGGTGCTCGCCTGTCGCCGTATAGATCATCTCCTGCAGTGACTGATACTGATTTGAGTCGCGGACTGAAGCCAGATTTCCTCCACGGTCTATGCAGTCATCCTAAACAAAGTGTGGAGAGAGGTTAGCAACAAAGCATGCTCTGGATCATTATTGTGCTTTAAATGTTCTGCGTTATTATTATTATTATTATTATTATTATTATTATTATTGTACCTCTGCATCAGACCAGCTCTTTTGCTCACGGACGAACAAAAAACAGTGAGAGTGAAACTCGGTCCAACCTTCAGGGCAGGCCATACAGCAGCTCCCTATGACACAAACGTCATGTTTGAAATAGTGTATCTGAGGGATCATTGTTACAATATCAAAGCAAAACCAACTTCAGTTTGTTTAAGTTTTAGTCAAACATGCTCCTATCTCTTAAAAAACATGAACTACGATGCATACGCTGGCGTGGAAGGCTGTGTTAAATCCACTTTGGACTTTGGGAGCCATGGATGGAATTTAGTTGGTTTTATTTGCCTGATTTTTTCAAACACATCTGCAAAAAATGTCTGAAGGTCTTAAACTGAAGCTTCTGCACCCACTAACGGATAACTCAGACCTCGTCCTCAAATGTTGACATCTTGAGAAATCCTTGAGTCAAAAGAAGAAAAGTGTACCCACCTTTTTTGTGACATTTGCCTGCCTGCAAACATCAACAAAACATTATCATCAGCTGTGAGTTCAGGTTATCTTGTCAAATATAGAATTTCCTCACGTACACTTGTGATAGTTTCATGTCAACTTAGTAATCGTGAGTTTGTATGATTGTAATCAACTCCCGTAGGAACTTTGAAGGCTTTCAGAAAAGATATTTGTTACCGAACAAGAAACAAAAATAAAAATGAAATATAGTTCAGGTCAGAGAGTTGACCCCTTTATAAAGCTGCATTGACTGGTGTTGGTACTTACATTAGCTCCTACCCACACTCCAAGAAGCACAATGAGATGGAGAGCGGAGGCCATCTGCAGAAAAAACAAATACGGTGATTTTATCAAAGCGGAATACTCAAAAATCAATCTGTAGAAAATAATGACGTTTCTAGTCTACCCATAGCTTCTCCTCGTCCACCTGTGACAAACTTTACTCTCTGCATCCATCTGCCGACCAGATTAAAGGAAGTTGGGAGTGTAGGATTAAACACACTATCGATCGATCCCAGAGAAAGAGACGTCGAGAACGCGAAGAAAAGGTTTTTAAGACTGACTGAGAGAGAAAAAGTGATAAAATACAGTCATTACTACAGAGGACCCTGTTTAAATGCTAATATTCAAAGTTTGTCTGCACCTTTAAAAATCTGCAAACAAGCCTTTAATCTTCTGTAAATGTTAAAGCTGCTGGTCAAAGTGGCGAAAAATCATCTGAATGTAAAAATGGTTTTGTTTTTGGTTGACATGTGAGCGAGTCCTCCTTCAAAGAAGTCTCGGTCATGCATCCCTACGGTTTTGTGTTTTAGTTCGTGGAATGAAAGATGTCTTTTAAAAGGTGAAGGAGAAGTGAGGGGCTGTTATTGAAAATGGGTCACAAAATTTCTCAAAGCCTTGAACTAGACTTCATTATTATGCTACACATTTACATCTTTGCACACTGAACCCTTTTAAGGACATAAAAAATAACCCTAACCCTACAAATACTCACTTAATTAAAGACAGTCTTCCTCACCGGCCGTCCATGTAAACACACTGCAGCCGAGGCGTACCAACCTCTCAGCTGGGAAAGCGTTACCAACAATTTCAGTATTTTTTGCACACTATGACTCTGGTCATGGTGTGCAATCTTAACATGGCTGCTAATCTCAGATTACTACATAAGGCATTTACTCCCCAAGCTGCAACACTCCTTTGTTAAAACTCAAGATAACAGGGAGGTGCCAAAATCTGCAGTTTCTTGAGTGCTCACTTGAGTCTGGCTCTACAAGCCCAGGACAGTTTATGTACACATTGTAATGGTTGGGAGTCATTTGTTTTAGAGATGGAGGGACGAAGAGTTTTGCAAAGATTTGAATAATTATGATTACTAACTGGCAGGTAGGATCAGCTGAGAAACTTCAGCATCCTTATCGTGAATAACCACCATGTTTAATTCTTTTCCTTTTGGTGACATCGTGTTGCGTTTAACGGGGAATGTAAACTCATAAACAAACAAAAAGGGAAGGACCCAAATGCAGACAAAAAGGATTTATCTAAAATGACTAAACAAAAAAAACACAAGGAACAACTGGGGACACAAGCATACGAACACACATCTACACATCTACACACACAGTGAACCAACAAGAACAGAGGGGAAGACAGGGACTATACACACACAGAGAAACGAGACACAGGTGAGACAGATGAGACACAGGTGAGACTCATGGGTGATTAACGAAGGAGAGAAAACTGGGGAAGTAAAACCAGACGAGAAACACGAGGAATCAACTCCTACAAAATAAAACAGACTGATCTAAACAATAAAACACAGAGAACAGGAGGGAAACAGGGTCAGAGACAAAGTGAACACTCATAAGACTGGACTACAGGGGAGCAGGAACACGAGGGAAAATACATTCAAATAACAAAACAGGGAAAAAACTAAATTAAACGAACATTTTTATAATAGATTTGGCATAAACAAAATCACCGCATCATCTCCGTCTGTTTTTTTCACCACATTCTCAGTTTACGTCCCCTTCATTGCTTCTCCTAGTTTCCCTCCTCTGGAGCTTGTTTCGTAAATAACTCGTTTCTTTAGCGGGAGAGAGCGACTACATTAACCTCAGAACTTGAGTCTTATATTTCCATACTTGGTGATGTTTTTTATCAGGACAAGTTGATTGAATTGATCTTTAATTTTCATCTTTTCTTCGATCAGTCAAGAGTCACACCTTACCTTATTGTGATGATCTGGACTTGCAGGAATAAGCGGGCAATGTTTGACTAGATGATAAGACTTCTTTATATACCATCCTCTGGTTGTTTGATTTAAACATTTGCATGCTATAAGATTGCTTTTGATAAATATTGCTACTGCTTTTGTGATGACTGATACCAGCCTTAAGTAAAGGTTAATCTGCACCTTCAAAAATATTTGCATGGCGTGTTGAATGAGGAGCATAATGTCCTATGCAGCTAGAATTAAACAAAGGTATTGAGCAGCTGCAGCGTTTCAGGGGGACGTGGCTGTGTGTTCAGAGGAGAATAAAGTCATGTAAGGGCAACAGAGGGCGCAGAAATGGGTGGGCGAGTACAGACGTGTGTCTAAGGACTGACAAACCATCTCCACCAGGAGGAGACTGAAGACACAGGCTACATAATCATGTCCATGACTGAGGCAGATGGGTCTGAGTTCAGCAAATTTATTCTTATGGCACATGCAGAAGTAGAGTTTCAGGAGGTTAAGACTGCAGATGTGGTTAGAGGAGCTAGTTTTCCCTCTGTCTCTGTTATCAGAAGCTCCGGACTGCGGGGTACCCCTCATCTCTTGACCTTTAACCTGGTCTTTCTCTGTGAATCCTTTGAATTCAGCAAACACGGCAACACTTGGTGGCTTTGAGAACTGACATCAAGTCTTGCAGCGGCTGTCTGAACCACGACTAACCTCTGTTGATATACAAGTTCAGAAAGCTTGTGCAATAAAATATAAGCTTTCTGCGCAAAAAAACCTGCAGCATTTGTTTCCAAACTCAGATCTGAAGGCGCTGCTCAGGAGGACAGAGTGCAAACGCTGAGTTATCACAACTTGACAGACAATTTATGAGCTGGTGAGTTATTCAGTGTTTATTCTCACCCTTGTGTTTCCCACAGATTGTGATTATGTTTATGGTTGTAACTAACCGCAGATGTTTATTTATCAGGCTGGCAGACTTTGAACAAGCAAACAAACCTGTTAAAACCACTTAGACAGCAACAGCAGAGGTTGTGTCTCACTGCAAAGCTAATGCACAGATTTTTGGGTCAACATTCAGACTTTTGCATGGGAAACGTGCATAAATGCTGCATTACAGTAGACGCAATAAAATAATGCTTCATTTTATAAACGGACAAGCTCAGTACATACCAGGCCCTGCAAACAAACCTGAAGTAAAAACAATCCAGAGTTCACAAAATGTTTTGGCAAACAGAACTAAAACAGGACCCAAAATGTCAGCGGACACACCCGCCAATTATTCCCCGGAGTGTTCTGTCTGCACTCACGCTACATCTGTGTTATTTATATAATCTAAACGGCAGTATCTTGAGTTTGAAACAGGTAATTCAAGGTCCAGCTCCCTCTTTTTACAGATTCTACATACTTGAATTTAGACTTTCAGGCCTGGACTTGTGTTTAAAGAGTTCTCTGGATTCTGTCTATGGACGCTTGAGAAAACTCGACCATCAGCCAGAAACAGGATCCCCCCTCTTATATCTAAGACAATTAAATTGATGGCGATTGATTATTGGTTGATGTTTATATCTGGACTGTTTGTCACTTTGGATAAAATTTTAACGCTGTCACAATAAGGGTATAAAATTCATTAAGATGTTGATTAAGTTAAAAATAACAAACACATTCAATACTGCTTTGTATAAACTCTCATCAGAAACTTGTTGACAGTTTATATACCTGACTCTCTGGTTTAAGGTTTTTATGTTTCATGCTCACACCTCCCACCTTTAATCACTTTTGATTAAACCATAAATCCCATGGAGCACAGATGTGAAGAGATTACCCAGAAACACCTCTGTCAGGTACTCCTTTTTGACTAGTACTTAAGTTAGCTAACTCAATATGATAACAAGCACATTCAGCTCAGCGTAAAAAAAAAAAGAAGCAGTTTTTGGAACGTGCTCTTTGTGTAATCTGAGAGTGCAGTTTTACTTATTGTGTTTTTGGTCAAAGAAGCATGATAAAGAGTATTTTAAAACACAGGGACTGCTCATCTCAAACCTGAAGAATCTGCCTCTGAACATGAGATTCATTTTGCACAGGTTTGTGAAGCATCTGTAGCTGCATTATCTATTTTCTTTCTCTTAACTGTCATTTATAAAACACTCATAACTCTGTTTTAAAAAGTTTAGAGTCATTAGCATCTGGTCTTTAGCTGTCGGCTGTTTTAAGACTCACAGTAAACATGGTAAAAATGATCATTTCCTGTAATTTTCCGCAGTGTGGGAGCCCACACAACATTTCCAGACAAATGTGTATGACACATTAAAGTTTAACCCATGGTTAAAAAACACAGGCACAATTAGCATGCTGAGTAGATTGGTTTATTGGACATTTATTTCAGTTCATCTTAAACAGCTGATGTTCTCCTGATGTCAGAGGGGGAGTTTGGTGAGCTCCATCAGGATCACTGAGGAGGTCGCATCATCAGTCCTTTATTTCAAGGTTTGTGGAGCAAAGGAAGGGTTTCGCTGCAGAGCACTTAGCATCCTTGATTACCTGAGCTGTCGACAGACACAAATCACAACGATTAGTCCCAAAACTATTTGTTGCAAGCAAGACATCCGTGAACCCATTTTTTTTCTATATGAGACTCAAATAGAGATGAATGAAGATACCATTGCCTTTTATCAGCATGCAGTGTTGTCGGCCTCCACCATTGTTTGGCTCGTTGGGGGCCCAGCTTGTAAAGTTAAACCTTGAGCCGTCGCTCCATTTCCATGCCTCCTCCTTAAAAACGTTTATTCAGTCAGCAAAGGATCAAATCAAAAAGTGGAAAAAGAAGACCAAATTTCAATTCCTTCAACATAAAGCTTCAGAGAACTCTGGAATATTTTGTGTTGGGGTAATTTGTTTTCCATTTGTTATAAATCTGCTGAAAATCTGTGTTTTTTTGTACCTTGGAGGGCTGTCTAAGCATATTGAGATCATTGAACAAAGGCCAGGTCTTTTATTTTCTCCCTGCCTCAGGTACCAGGCCTTTATTTGAAGCAGGCTTTTATCAAAGGAATGGCTTTAAATCAAATTCTGTCAGTTTCAGGATCACTATCATCCCATTAACTGGTATGACACAGGTATCAGTTTGCCATCAGGACTTGACTTACTTGCACGGTAACTTTTTCAATTTAATTTTTTTCATATTTACTCGTCTACATGTCTGTATTGTGGTCTGCCAGTCCTAATCTCTATCAACATGAAGCGCTTACTTTGACTGCATCATTGCCTCCAAGCCATGATGGTTTGCCACCTGCTAGATCTTCCAACAGCTCTTTGATTGTCTGGAGCTCGTTGGCGTCATGGAAAGAAGCTAGGTTCCCTCCTGCCGCAATGCAAGCTCGCTGATGTGAGGAAAACAAAGGAACAAAAGAAATATCAGGTAAGATAGCAATGAAGTAAATACAGAGTGATGAATAATTATTATTGTTTTATTTTGTTAAGTACCTCAGCATCACACCAACTCATCTTCTTGGAGCGGTACATGTAACAGCGAGAGCTAATCTCCATCCAGCCCTCAGGGCAGGTCATACAGCAATCCCCTAAAACAGTCATATTTTGTTATTAGAGAATTATTCACAAATAAATTCAAATAAATAATAATAATAATACATTTTATTTAAAGGCGCCTTCCTGAGCACTCAAGGACGCTTTACAGAAAGGATAAAAATAGCAGCATAGATCAGCAAGATAAAAGCAAATACAGTGAAGAATAAAAATACACAAGAAAATAGGACAAGTTAAAATACAAGGAGTGGGCTAATCTGAACAGGTGGGTTTTGAGTCTGGATTCAAGTGGTTAAAACGCAAAAAATATGCCTATATGTGGCTGAAAGGTCAGACTTGGGTTGGGTATTAATTAAAGATAAGGGTGCCTAAAGTAAGGCGCACTGCAGTCTGAAGTCACCTGGTGCTGATAATGACAGAGTGAGTGAAGCTCAATGATAATGAGGCACTGCATTCATGCTATTGAGATTAAATAGAAGTATATTAGCATGTGTTTACCAACACCTCCCTCTAATGTTTTACTATTCAAAAAAGCTATAAATGCAGATCTAGGACCATGTTTACACGCTAAAGATCTGCAGGCTCTAAAGCTCATGAGCAAAAACAATCTGGATGCAGATTCTGTATTTTTAACGTTTGCTATAATGAGATTGAAAAAAATAAGAAAAAGAAGAAGAAGAAAGAGAGAGGAACCAACCTGCTTTTGGACATTTTGTCTGTGAATGTAAAAAACACACTGTTAGCCATGTGATAAAAGCTCAAGAGAAGAAAGTTTGAGACTAACAACTGTCCCAACCATCTGACCCGTTCTACTTCACTTACTCAGTTCTGATATTTTTCCATATTTATTATCATGAACCAAGCCATGCATCAGGATCACATAATACTTACGTCTGCGCCCATCCATAGTCCACTGCTCAGACCAAGAATCACAAAGATTTGCAGAGTGAATGCCATCTGTGTGAAGATCAGGCGCTTAGATGAGCTGAATTAACTCTGTCACATGTCAGTGATATTTACACTAAATGAAATCTGCAAAATTAGTCGGAATGAACAGGTGATTAAGAGTGACATTTAAAGTCCTACCTTGTGTTGATCAGATAAGACTGGACTTGCTGGAAGACTGGCACATCTTCTTAGGATAGCCTCTTTATAAACCTCTTCATATAGTTTGTTGAGTGAAAAATTTGCATAACCTAAAGGACCTAGAGGGTAATGTCAATAATGCAATCATCTGTGAACTGCAATTTGCCACAGCCTTGAGTAAAGGTTAGACAGTTTCTTAAATATTAATGATGAAAAAACTGATTAAACAAAAACAAGGAAATGAACTTGTGACTCCCTCACAGAGCTGAGTCTGTTTTAATGCAGCCTTAGATAGCCGTGACACTCTGGCAAACACCAGGTTACAGTAAGAAAAGAGAAACATTCGGGTCCAGGTAGAGACACTGCAACCATCTACTGTGAGTGTAGCATAGACAACATTTAGCCTCACTTCTGTCTAATCTTTGCTTAATTCTGACCTGACCATTGAACCCTAACACATACTCCGGGCTTGGAGTTATAAAACCTCAACATTTCAACTCAATGTCAATGTTGTAAGCACTGTCTATAAGTACTGCTCAAAAAAGGTGAATAACACATGATCTGACGAACAAAGCACAGGCAAGGAGTCACATCCGCTACAAACTGCACTTCTGCATGCCTGCGCTGTTTGAATACATCTACGTGCATTTAATTGGAGCCCTCTTCTGTGCAAATAACATGTTCTGGTGTGCGTGACTGTATAAAGTCTGATCTGAGTTTGCAGCCAAAACATTTACATAAGCTTGTTTGGGGCAAAAAATATGGCCCTCTTATAATAATTATCATGCATTTTATTTATTTCAAAGCATTCAAGATGGGTGGAGAGAGGAAAAGGACCTGGGAGTGCATGAGGGGGTGCTGATGTGAAGGAGGATGGAAAGGTGAGGTTATAGATGGCTTTAAAGGTCAAGAACAGAATCTAAAAATCAATGCAGAAGCTGACCGGGAGCCAGAGTAGCTGCTGAAAAATTGAAGTGGTTTGATTGCTGGATGTAGTTCTGGAAATTATGCAGGCAGCAGAAGTGTGTACTAATAAATAAGCCTTCAACCACAAAGCAATTAGCCAACATGTCATCACATCTGAGCCAGAGCTGAGGCACAGAGCTGCAGCCAGTCGGTAAAGCAATGCTGCCATCTCCAGGACGGACAGAGGAATTGTGTCAAGCAACTGTTAAGAAGTTAGAAGCCGTTGTTGAAAATGCGTAAAAGCTGACCCTTTAGGACTTGCCTTACTTGCTTCAGGTACTTGGCCGTTGCTGCTTTCCTTGTGGCCTCTTCGTGGTTGCCATTTGCCTGTGGTATGCCAAGGTATTTGTAGCTCTCCTCCACATCTGCTATTCTTCCCTCTGGGAGTGCAATACCCTCTGTATGGCGTACCTTCCCTCTTTTCGTCACCATTCGGCCACACTTCTCCAGTCCGAACAACATTCCGATGTTACTGCTGTAGGTCCTGGTGGTGTAGATAAGTGAGTCAATGTCTAGCTCGCTCTTAGCGTACAGCTTGATGTTGTCCATGTAGAGGAGATGGCTGATGGTGATCGCATTTTGGCGTCAGAATCCGAAGTCGGTCTTGCTGATTATTTGGCTGAGGGGATTCAAGCCTATCCAGAGGAGCAGTGGGGACAGAGCATCTCCTTGATATATGCAACATTTGATGGAGACTTGTGCTATTGATTCGAAGTTGACCTCAAGGGTGGTGTTCCATTGCCTCATTGAGTTTGTAATGAAGGCTCTTAGAGTCTTGTTGACCTTGTACAGCTTCAGGCATTCCAGTGTGCATTGGCAGTGTGTGTGTGTGTGTATATATATATATATATATATATATATATATATATATATATATATATATTTATAGATTAATTGCAGCTAGGGGCCATTATTGCTTTTGGGGTAAAACAGCTTATTAACCTGTTTGTCCTCGTTGTAATTGTCTTGTATCTTCTGCCTGAGGGCAGCAATTCAAACAGGTAGGGACCCGGGTGTGAGGGGTCTCTAAGGATGTTGTGGGCTTTATAGAGGCCGTGAGAGTTGTACAGCTCATCAAGGAAGGAAGAGAACAGCTGGTGATATTCTGGGCTGTGTGTATGACTCTCTGGAGTGCTTTTTTGTCAGTCTCAAGAAGAAGATTCTCTGCTGGGCCTTCCTGACCATTGCTGCAGTGTTTTTACAACAGGTCTGGGCCGCCTCAATCTAGACGCCTAGAAACCTGAAAACTTTGCCTACTCCTTGCTGATGTGTAATGGCTGGATGTCTGTTTTAGTCCTCTTGAAGTTGATGATCAGCTCCTTTGCAATCATATTTAACATTCATATCTGTAAATTAAATAAGTCACCCACTACTAAATGCAAATCATGAGTATTACATGAAAAGAACTGTTGTGATAAAAGGCAATAAAGATAAGCCTACCCTGTGGTAATCAGTTAAGGCTGCACAAGCAGAAAGTAGCTAACATCTTGGTGAGGAATCTCCTTATATACCTTCTATTGGTTGTTCTTCCGCTTATTTAAAATTTGTATGTTATCAGGTGATCTTTGGAAAATACTGGTATTGCAATCAACTTTAATGTGCAAAAAGGGTGGGTTTTTTCCCTATGATGTGTGTTGACACATAATCAAACAAGAACAAGGTTACTTCTCCTACTTTTGTGCCTCTTCTCTGTACAGTGATGCCATCTACTGTTGTGGCCTATAATTGCTATACCCTGAAAATAAGACTATCCCATATCATTAGATTTTGAGATGTAATATTACAAAAAATAAAAACAACAGTTTTCATTAAGTGCTACTGAGAATGATATTGCAGCCTGAATAAGTCTTTGTTTTAAGAATAGTATATTTGTCTTAATAAGAAATTTCTGACTTCCATCTTGTTTTTCACACCTTGACCCACATTTCTATGTTCTAGGGGATTTTTTTCTTCAACTCTAAACAATATAAGCATTGATGTTAGACACATGAACAAAGGCGTCATATTGAATGCTGAGAATTGGTTTATTAAGTTACACTCTGATGAATCAGAAATGGCAGAAAATCTGAGCACTGATGCCATCAAGGTGTAAGGATGACAGTAAGTTGACTTCCATCAAAATCTGTGAAGATGTTGCATTATCAAGCCTCCTTCCTTTCAAGGTCTCTTGAACAAATGAAAGCTTTCTCAATGTTACATGGGGCATCGTTGATAGGTTGGGTTTCTGTTGGAAAACAAACACAACACCAAGTGATGAGAAATGCCACTCTTTGTGACAGTACCATGACCATATCTTCTGCTACAGGAGCAATTATTTTCTATGAAAGACTGTAGATATTTGGTTCAATTCAAATTCATACCAGTGTGGGACATTTCCATGCAGTGTTCTCCTGGTCCATAGTTGTTTGGCTCCCCTGGGGCCCAGCTGTCAAAGTCAAACTTGTAGCCATCAGCCCATTGCCAGCAATCCTCCTGAAAGGAAAGGCAATATATGTGAGCAATAACAGGAGAATTTATATGCAGCATGATTTGAGCAGGTTAAAGATGGTGTTATGTCCTTAATTGCCCGACAAGTCGAGAGGCAGCCGTAACAGTGAACAGGAAGGCCTGACATGCAGAAAACTTCAGTGATGAAGTGTTATTTGAGAGCAGCTGTGCTTATTATATTGTACCTGTATACCTGTACCTGTATATTGTACCATGCCTTTCCAATCTCCTGAGTGGAAAGGCAAAAACACCCCATAAAGGCAAACATACTTAATAAACAGTATGTGTTATCAGTAGCTCAGGCTGCTTGTTTTTTTGTGGGTGACATTGAACGATTTTTTACCCAAGCACATGTTAAGTACACCAGGCTCTAACGGGCAAAACCCACAGGGTCTGGAACGGCTCCGCCCTGCTCCGCGCCGGCACGGCCGGCAGACCAAATCCGCAAGCATTATAATCAATGTGAGTCATTCCACAGAATCCATTCGGAGTACGGCTCTGCTGCGGATCTGCTCCAGCGGCCGGATCAGATACGCAAGGCTTCTATTTTTGCTGGATGCCGGAGCACGGTGCATCAATTCAGTGCAGCGCAGCATGAACAGCAGCAGAAGTTGTATGCGATTACAGAGTAAAATACCCGCTTAATTTTCAACATAAAATAAAGTCAATACATTGACCTGTTGTTAACTAGATAGTAGGAGAGGCCAGGGTTGTGGGATGTGGGTGTTGATATACACCGCTGTTGATATACGCCGATCAGCAGATCTCATTCTATGACTCTCGGGGAAACACACTAGAGCTTGTGAGATCTCGTCCAATCTCACGAGAAATATCAGTAATCTCTCGAGCGCTTCTCCTCCTCCGATGGCGGCCGATCGGACCTGGTCAGAGCTGTATGCTCAGGGATCGGATCTGCCTGCCAGTCCAGAGCGGACCGGAGCCACTACGGATCCTGTGGGTTTAGCCAGTGAGTCACATCCTTTCAGGTCTATATTTTTGCTTTGTTTCCACACACTACAGTTAGCAGGTACTTTTTTTTTTATCATTGGTTAATTTTCTCCAGTGTGGCTTGAGTTTTAGCAGCCTGTATCCCCTTTATTACCGTCACAATTATATGTATTAATAACTCACCTTGACTGCATCAAAGCCCCCCATCCAAGTTCGCGCTTCTTGGCCTGTAGTCAGCTTCGTGAAATTTCTTAATATTTCCAGTTCTTTCACGGTACGGATTGAAGCCAGATTGCCACCCTCATTTATACATTGGGACTAGAAAGTAGGAGGCAGATTTAGAAGTAGTACACAATGACTCCATGAAAAGGTTTATGTAATTCAACAACAAATTATGTTGTACAGTATTATAGATGTTTTAAGTACCTCAGCATCACACCATCCCTTTGGTCCAAAGTGAAATTTGAAACAGCGACCTTCAAACCTTGTCCATCCGTCAGGGCAGGCCATACAGCATTCATCTACAACACAAATGTCCTGTCAGACAGACAATCCTGAAGCCATAAGAGCTAAACTTTGTACATGGTATAATGCCCAGATTTCAGTCCGCAGTACATTTTAAACTAATAAACGTGCAGGATGATTGAATACTGGAACAAAATAAAACTTTATTTACTGTTACCGGCTTTTACTCAGCAAGTCCTAAGTTTTCGGAGAAAATGTAAAAATTCAGCTGTCACTAAGGTTCTCTATTTGGTTATTAACTTTACTACAAGAAAAAAATTAGGTGCGTAGTCAAATGCTTCACAGTGTTTGACCAGCAGTGGACACCCCAAGTCCGGCAGCAGAAATGTTCTCTTCTATGATATTTCATTATTTAACTTTAGAAGTGGAGAAAACAAAGTACAGACCTTTTTTTGGACATCTTGCCTGTGGATGAAAATAATTACCTTTAGTCATTCAATAAATACCCAAAGCTGAAGTTATGTCATATATAAAACATAAAGAAATACTTTCATGATTGTGAGACAGGATATCTTATATATGAATATGTAACCACATGAGCTGTGATGCCTTATGTTCAAAAGTCAGTTTGAATAGAAACTGACACGAGTACTTGTATTTTCCAGCAGCTACAGCCTGCAGTAAAGCCCACAGTGAAGAATCAAATGAAAACAATACTTACATTTGCTCCCATCCACAGTCCACTGCTCACACAAAGCAGCACAACAAGCTGAAGATTGAATGCCATCTGCGTAGAGATCAGAGGTTGTGAGAGACGAATCAACCCTCCATCATTTATAACAGTAACCAAAAAAAGCAATAATTCATTTACATTGATTATTGTTCTAGTCATAAATGCTTAACCCAAATGCTTTCATTAAAGACAAGAGCCAAGCACTTACCTTGTTATCCAAATCAGATGAGACAGGACTCAAAGGTAGTCGGCAACATCGTCAGGAGAGATCACGCATTTTATACATTATGCTGATGTTTGGTTTAGAAATTTGCATATTATTCAGGAAATTAAAAGACAATATTGAGAGGCAATTAAGAATAAGCCGATAATTTTGCAGTGATGAAATAAGAACAAGGATGTAAACTTAAAAGCTTTTAAGCTGACGTCTTTTAATTTTTTCTTAATTATCGCTTTATTTGCATCTTGAGCCTACACCCTCTAAGAAATCAGTCATCTCCTGATCATTGAGGTGACATTTTTGCTTGCCTATAGCCAATCTACATCGAAGTAACACCCTACCATAAAAACTGTCAGTGAGGCCTTGCCATCAGTCAATCATTACACTTAATACTTAAAGTCAATGAACACTTATTTTAATTACTTGAGGGTTAAGAGTGGGTAATAAAGGGATCATTACTTTGAAATAACCAAGGACAGTATGACATCTTTTATGTACTCAAAATAAATATTTAGTATCTGAGATGTTTCACAGGATAACTCTGAATAGAATTTCTAAAATACTCATTTTAAATTCATAAAATCTACCTTGTTTCTGTCATGTATTCTGCCTGTACTGCTTCCCTGTTATACTCTTAGTTGTGTTGTCTGGCACCATTATTAGTGACTTTTCTCCATTACTTTAGTATTTAAGGATTTAAGGATTTAAACATCTTTTTTTATTATTATAGTAAGTTTTTACCTGTGCCAAAATGTGGCGGATTACATCTCTGTTATAGTGGATCAGTCCACACTCACTCACAGTGCGTGCAATATGGATTCAAGAAGTGTGGCAGGATGGAGCGCTTCCAGGTCACATATTGTGTTTCAGACTTTCACTGTCTGTGAAAGTAACATGGCACATGGGACCAGGAGCTCTAGAACAAGGAATGTCATAAGAACACTAGAAACATGCATGTATGCATGTTAAGATCTGTCTCAAAAACAATATAATATAAAATAAATCTAATGCTCTGCCATAAATTAAACTATGACCATTCTCTTGTCATCAACATAGTGTTCCTGTAACAGTACATAAACTGAGTTTTGTTCCTGTTTCTGACATTTTTTCTCCTTTTAGTACATAACGTTTTCTGTAAAGGCTGAGTAAACACTGTGTGCATGATGACTGTACTTTTTCTTCTTTGTTTGCTGTGCTGATTCTTTGCTGTTGTAACACTGGAAATTTCCCCACCATGGGATGGATAAGGGTTTTTCTTATCTTATCTGACACCTGGCTAAAGACTTTAGAAAGGGGGGAAGAGAGAGATTTGCTGCAATACTGCCTTTTATATTTCTGTGTCAAGTCACAATGCCCCCCCACCCACACACACACACACACACACACACACACACACACACACACACACACACACACACACACACACACACACACACACACAGAGTTCCTGTGCTAGTGTGTGAGATTGGAAGTATTTGTGTCAAGGTCAGCAAGAATATACTCCTTCTCATCAGGGTTATGAGTGTGAAAGTTGTTTGTTAATGAAAGTTTATTGATAATTATAAAAGGGCACTTTACCTATGATAAACCATTTTTAATCTGAAAGTGCTGGTATTTACAGACTAGAATATGTAATTTGGGTACATTTTCAACACTTACATCTGGCTCAACGATATAAAAGAACGACGACTTGCGCTTGTTTAGCGGGCGTGCTGCTTGCTGCTGTGTTGTATTCGCCGATAGCGATATACACTACCGTTCAAAAGTTTGGGGTCACCTAAACAATTTTGTGTTTTCCATGAAAAGTCACACTTATTCACCACCATATGTTGTGAAATGAATAGAAAATAGAGTCAAGACATTGACAAGGTTAGAAATAATGATTTGGATTTGAAATACGATTTTTTTTTACATCAAACTTTGCTTTCGTCAAAGAATCCTCCATTTGCAGCAATTACAGCATTGCAGACCTTTGGCATTCTAGCTGTTAATTTGTTGAGGCAATCTGGAGAAATTGCACCCCACGCTTCCAGAAGCAGCTCCCTCAAGTTGGATTGGTTGGATGGGCACTTCTTGCGTACCATACGGTCAAGCTGCTCCCACAACAGCTCAATGGGGTTCAGATCTGGTGACTGCGCTGGCCACTCCATTACCGATAGAATACCAGCTGCCTGCTTCTGCTCTAAATAGTTCTTGCACAATTTGGAGGTGTGTTTAGGGTCATTGTCCTGTTGTAGGATGAAATTGGCTCCAATCAAGCGCTGTCCACTGGGTATGGCATGGCGTTGCAAAATGGAGTGATAGCCTTCCTTATTCAGAATCCCTTTTACCCTGTACAAATCTCCCACCTTACCAGCACCAAAGCAACCCCAGACCATCACATTACCTCCACCATGCTTAACAGATGGCGTCAGGCATTCTTTCAGCATCTTTTCATTTGTTCTGCGTCTCACAAACGTTCTTCTTTGTGATCCAAACACCTCAAATTGGATTCATCCGTCCACAACACTTTTTTCCAGTCTTCATCTGTCCAATGTCTGTGTTCTTTTGCCCATCTTAATCTTTTTCTTTTATTGGCCAGTCTCAGATATGGCTTTTTCTTTGCCACTCTGCCCTGAAGCCCAGAATCCCGCAGCCGCCTCTTCACTGTAGATGTTGACACTGGTGTTTTGCGGGTACTATTTAATGAAGATGCCAGTTAGGGACCTGTGAGGCGTCTGTTTCTCAAACTAGAGACTCTAATGTACTTATCTTCTTGCTCAGTTGTGCAACGCGGCCTCCCACTTCTTTTTCTACTCTGGTTAGAGCCTGTTTGTGCTGTCCTCTGAAGGGAGTAGTACACACCGTTGTAGGAAATCTTCAATTTCTTAGCAATTTCTCGCATGGAATAGCCTTCATTTCTAAGAACAAGAATAGACTGTCGAGTTTCAGATTAAAGTTCTCTTTTTCTGGCCATTTTGAGCGTTTAATTGACCCCACAAATGTGATGCTCCAGAAACTCAATCTGCTCAAAGGAAGGTCAGTTTAGTAGCTTCTGTAACGAGCTAAACTGTTTTCAGATGTGTGAACATGATTGCACAAGGGTTTTCTAATCATCAATTAGCCTTCTGAGCCAATGAGCAAACACATTGTACCATTAGAACACTGGAGTGATAGTTGCTTGAAATGGGCCTCTATACACCTATGTAGATATTGCACCAAAAACCAGACATTTGCAGCTGGAATAGTCATTTACCACATTAGCAATGTATAGAGTGTATTTCTTTAAAGTTAAGACTAGTTTAAAGTTATCTTCATTGAAAAGTACAGTGCTTTTCCTTCAAAAATAAGGACATTTCAATGTGACCCCAAACTTTTGAACGGTAGTGTACAGAGAGGTGAGTTTTTCAGGGCAGGGGAGGGATTCTTCCCTCAGGACCTGGTGAATGAACAACATATGTCACCCAGTGAACGACGCTGTGACTTCAGCAGCAGGGGAGGGGAGGGGCTCGTTCAATGAACGAACTTGCCGCTGTGCCTCTTACTGGTGTACTGCACCGGCAGGACGGGGCGCCAAAACACTAACTGATTCAGTGAACGAATCTTTTGAACAATTTTTTTTTTTAATGAACAGATTCTAAAGATTCAGTCAAAAGAAGTTTGGGAACCTGTGTTCTTGTTAGAATTCCTAAAACTGTTTTAGGACTCAGGATTTAGAAACAATGAGAACAAGTCGCTTTTCTGATATTTTAATGGGATTTAAGACTCACTTTATTTAGAGTTTGCCAAACAGAAATGTGTTAATTATAAAAAAAACACTGGAACATTATAGGCCAGTTATACCAGTTTACATCACGTTCACACAAACACACATAAATGAACAATACAATACAGTATGATACAATGAGAGGGAGAAAAGCAAAAGTTTGCTGAATTTGATCATTTGTTAAAGTGCTTTACACGTGGCCTATGCATGCTTATACTTGTTGAGTGGAGGTGGAAATACACCATCCCATCTCATCATACAGTAACAACACAGTCAGGACGTCAGCACCAATCAGCAGTCAAGTTTACTAACAGTAGCATGTGATATTCTGTGCAACACCGTGGTTATTACCTGTTGAATTCAAATATATCACATATAAAAGACATATCAAGCAATACCTGATATCATCCAATATAACAACACTTGTAAGATGTTTGGCAATGTGCTTGGCGTGAAATAACTACTGAAGAAGTAACATGCAGAGAGGTCAGCATTCAATACTTTGCTTTCTGTGCATTATGCAAATTAAGTCCGGAACTTTCCGTCTGTCCTTGGAACTGTTCAAAAGTTGCAGTTTAGATTTTAATGAATATCGCACTTTTTGTATACTGAAAGGGCAGCCAGGGCGCACCTTTTATATACTGGGGGGGCATCAAGAGGGCATCCAGAGGGAACATTCTTTCCTTTAAATGGCCTCCAGAAGGAATAATTGTTCATATTTTATATTTAGAAATAGAACTCAAACCAATTTGTGTCAGTTATTTTACTTTGTTGCTTTGTGTTTAAATTAACAGTTATATTCTCTCCAGGGTCAAATAGACCCCAGTCAGTGTGGAGTGGGACAGTATGACCCCTGAGACATGAGATGTAGTAGGTCTTAACTTGAGGACAAATAATATTTTACCCACCCACTGGGCTTGGGGACAAATGACCCAGATCTAGTATGTCAATAACATCCACCCTGGCCCCGTATCTGTGTGAGTCTGGGCTGCCTGCCTGCATGCATGTGTGTGTGTGTGCGCATGCATGTGTTTATTTACACATTGGGGACAGTGTGACCCCTGAGACATGGGAAGGAGGTTTAATGTGAGGACAACAGGACGGTTAAATTAACGGTTATATTCCCTACTGGGTCAAAAAGACCCCAGTCGGTGTGGAGTGGGACAGTATGACCCCTGAAACATGGGATGTAGGTCTTAACTTGAGGACAACAGGAGGGTTAATATCCATTCATTTTCTCAGCCAAACTTGCTAGCTTCTATTAATCCACTGCTGTTATTCGGGCTGATCTCTTGATAACTGTAGAACCATTACATATTTTACTGACATTAAAGGTCCCTATGATTAGAAACCTGTTGACCCCTGTTACTGACTTTTATGTTTGTATTAACGTGTTGAAAATTCTTTGAGGGAAGGTTTGCAGACTGGCTGGTTGTTTTAAAAACATTTATTTTTGTCTATGTTCTGTGAATTCTCTTTTCAGTTGGAAAAAGCATGACTGTTAGTGTTGGGCAGATCAATAGAAGACGCCATACTGAATGCTGAGATGTTTATTGTCAAACATTTTGATTAATCACATGACAGTGAAGTAAATTCCAGTCAGATCAATGAAGATGTTGCATTAATCTTGTTGCATTTCAAGGTCTCTAGCACAGAAGAAGCCTTTAAGGACATCACATGGAGCATCGTTGATTGGTTGGACGTCTGTAAGAAAAAAAACACAAATAACCAAGTGATCAAACTCTGGGTGATTGTTAGAACTCATCCTTAAGTTCAACATGTAAGTAACTGTTGCTAAACCTTCTGAACAGATAACTTTTTCTTAAAGACTTAAAGTAATTTGTTGGATTCAAAATAACCAAAAGATTTCTCAAAAATCACAAAAGAGCGATAACAGAAAATTCATACCTGTGTGCATCAGCTCCATGCAGTGTTCTTTCTCATCAACGTTGTTTGGCTCACCATCACCCCAGCTAGTGAAGCCAGTTATATCTGAGCCATCACTCCATTTCCAGCAATTTTCCTGAGAAAAACAAAAAAGATCAGATCAGGATGCAATAATTTTTATTACTGAAAAACTCAATTGGATCAATTGATCCCGAAAGTATACATCCGTCACTTACCTTATGCGCCTTATAACCTCCAAGCCAAAGTCGTTTGATCGCTCCTGTCAACTCTTGCACCTTTCCTCTCAGAAAGTCAGCATCTTCAGGTTTACGGATGGAAACCAAATTGCCCCCTTGCGCCACACAAGTGGACTAGAGACAGTAAAAAGGGGAGAGGGAGCATTGGATAAACACTGAAAATGATTGAATAGAGTTAAATAATCATATTTACACCAGACTGAGGTCCTACGAATTTATCTAAAAACAAAGATGTTAAATAAATACAGAATCACAAGTATCTTATTATTAAGAACCTCAGCATCACACCAGTCCTTTTCTCCAGCATGAAACATGTAACAGCGAGAGTCATGCTCCATCCACCCATCAGGGCAAACCATACAGCAGTCCCCTACAAACACAAATGTCATGTAAGACAGAATAATGATAATCATTTAATAATGGTTAAATTATTTAGCCATCTGCCCATTAAGATGAAATAAGTCTTTTCCTTTACACACTGGTCAGTAACTTTGAGTTGATCACTGAGTTAAGGATGTACAGCTATAGAGCCCTTCAAGCTTGGCTGTAGACACAATATTATACCTACTGTAATTTCAGTCTTGTACACAAAAGTAAAAGATAAATATGCCAACCTTTTTTTGGACATTTTGCCTGTGAATGAAAAAAACACATGGTTAGCAAATAGATAAATGCTTAAGAGATTTAACCTAAATCATAATAACAAGGTATTTTTAGGAAACAGAACTAAAAACGGAATTCATTTTCACCAAAAAGTATAACTTCACACAAACTACAGTCATATCAGTTGTGATGTTTTCCTTTTTCAATGTTCATCGATTAATTTGGAATTAATTAAATGAGGACTTAGCATGGAAGTAAGTTCTTTTATTGTAAACATGCTTTTCACTAACTTTAATGAGTTCAAGGGCCACCTATATACTTGTTTTTTTCCAGCATCTGTAGCTTGCAGTACAGCCCATGGTGCAGCATCAAAATCAAGCAATACTTACATTTGCTCCCATCCACAGTCCACTGCTCAAGCCAAGGAGCACAACCAGTTGAAGAGTGAGTGTCATCTGCATAGAGATCAGAGGTTGTAAGAGTTAAACTTTTTCACAGACACTTGTGTCAACTAAAGTCATTGTACGTCTATAAAGATGGAAAAAAATACTTCAGTCTAGAAGTCATTATTCAATGTTTGATTTACATGAGGACCACCAATAAGCAGTTCTAGATGGGTTATAGAATTTCCTCGTACACTGAAGATATTTCTCTTTTAATTTTAATGGAATGACATCTTGTTTTACCTTTGTTATTGTAAATTATTAAAAAGGGTTAGCCATAAAACCAAGAATATATGCAGCAAATACAATGAAAAGAAGAAAGATCCAAACTCCTACCTTGCCGTGGTGATCAGTTGAGGCTGGATTTCGAGAAATCAGACAACGTCTTGGAGAGAATCTACTCCTTTTATACTTGTACTGACGGTATGATTTGGAAATTTGCATATTACTAGGTAGAACCTTAATTACAGTTGCAATTAAAATAATATTAGTGGAAAATCTGCACCACGTTGAACAAACAAGTACAAGGATGTATTCTAAAAAAAGGAATTCACATAAAGAAGTACACTTAAAAGCTTTTAAGCTGATGCCCTTTACTTTTTTTAATTATCGCTTTATTTGCATCTTGAGCCTACACCCTCTAAGAAATCAGTCATCTCCTGATCATTGAGGTGACATTCATGCTTGCCTATATTCATCAAATTAACGCCCTACCCTAAAAACTGTTAGTGAGGCCTTGCCATCAGTCAATCATTACACTTAATGCCTAAAGTCAATGAACACTTATTTTAATTACTTGAGGGTTAAGAGTGGGTAATAAAGGGATCATTACTTTTAAACAACCAAGGAAAGTCTGATGTCTCCTATGTACTCAAAATAAATATTTAGTATCCTAGATGTTTCATAGGATAACTCTGAATAGAATTTCTAAAATACTCATTTTAAATTCATAAAATCTACCTTGTTTCAGTCATGTATTTTGCCAGTACTGCTTCCCTCTAATAATCTTAATTGTGCCATCTGGCACTATATAAATGACTTTCTCCATTCATTTATTTTCTAAGGATTTAAACGTATAATTTTGTCGTGATGTAAAATTCTGAGACCATTTTAAGTTGTAACTATGCCAAAAGTTGGTGGATTAAAATTCTGTCATAGCAGATCAGTCCATAATCACTCACAGTGTGTGCAAGGCTTTCACAGGCAGCAAACGTCTGTACAAGAAGCCTCTGGGACAAGTATTGTCATAAGAAAGCTACACTCAAGGCAAATATAAACATGAACAAAGTAAAGATTGTCTCAAAAACAATATCTCAACATAAAATACATGTTAACAAATGCTCTGCCATTAATTAAATTAAGACCAGCCTCTTGTCATTAACATATTATTCCTTTAAATAGTACACATACCTGTTCCACTGATTTTGACACCCTAAGCATACATCTCTATTAACATTTGTTGTTTGTTTCTATTCGTTTTCTCTCTTTCCTCATCTCCTTTTATTTGTTGCAGTTATTTCCATTTATGTAGGTTGGCAGACTGTCTATTTTTTTTCTTGTCCTGCGCAATGTTATTGGTGATATCTGCAAGGACAACTCATTGCCTGCCAGCACTGAGACAAATGGAGAAGGGGTAGCAACCACATCAGGAGCAGAGAAGGTACAGTTAGTTTGACTTATTGGTGTAGAAGCATTACTACCCCATGGGGAGTTAAGCATGCAGTGGGATGACCTCAGAGTCTAGATCAGGCATGACAATATAAGTACATATCAGTGAGGGGTCAAAAGAAAAAAATTCGGTCAGACATTATATAGTCAGTGTTAAAAATCATTATGCCAGGTACATTTAAAGATATGTGAACAAACAAAGATGACCTGATTGTTAATGGCTAAAATTCAGCTTGAGGTCTCTCATAAGAGATAAAAGGAGCTCAGAACTATTTTGAGACCTTTCTTTCCTTAATTTCCTTAATTCAAAGACTTGTGCCGTCACTTGTGCCTGTACTGTATGTGTGCCGAAAAGATCTTCGCACATGTACAGTCTTCTGCAGAGGTCTTTTTCTTGTGAAATAATTTACGGTTTTGGTAAAGCCTATTTCCTGTTATAAATATGTTATTAATACCTTGAAATTTGGAGGTTTTCCATCAATGAGCAAGATTTTGAATTTACATTTTCTTTTCTGTTGAAGACATTTATAATGTTTAAGAAATTCCAAAGGCTCTCTGGCCAGGCATTGCAAGACCCATCAGGCAGCTCATACGTCTTTTAAATGGGATAAACTGAGCAGTTCCAGACCCTTTCACCAAGGTTTGTTTATGAGGGCCTGTGACTCTATTCTGACACTGCTGTCTGCACTACAGGGGCCCCAGAGGGGACAGTTTTGGCTCACTTCCTTTTTAACCTGTACACTGCAGACTTCACCCACCCAATTACAAGCTGCCACCTGCAGAGGTCCTTGGACAATGCAGACATTGAACGCCTCATTACCGATGATGATGAGGGGGAGTAAAGAGAACTGAACCGGAACTTTGTGGACTGGTCTCAGTGGAACTTCTTCCAGATCTACACAGGAAAAACCAAGGAGCTGGTGGTAGATTTTGCAGGTGCAGATCACTCCCACACCAGGAAGGACATTGAGATTGTGGATTCTTACAAGTACCTCGGTCTTCACCTGAACAATAAACTAGACTGGACTGACAACACTAACTCCCTCTACAGGAATGCCAAAGTAGACTCCACCTACTGAGGAAACTGAAGTCCTTTGTGGTGCAGGGAGCACTCCTGCAGTCCTTTTATGACTCTGTGGTGGCCTCAGCCATCCTCTATGGAGTAGTCTGCTGGAGCAGCAGCATCACAGCTACAGAGAGGGACAGAATGAACAAACTGCTGAGGGGGGCTGGCTCTGTTCTGGGCTGCCCTATGGACACTGTCAAAGTGATGAGGGGCAGGAGGATGATGGCTAAACTATCATCTCTCATTGGCAATGTTTCCCACCCCCTGCAGAGCACTGTAATAGGACTGGGCAGCTCATTCAGTGACAGGTTTCTTCACCCGTAGTGTGTGACAGAGAGATACCACAAGTCCTTTCTTCTTGCTGCGGTCGGACTGTTTGAGCAGACCTGTCCCCAGTAGTCAGGCTGCAGCTGCCACATCCCACAGCTGTGACAAACCCAATGTGCAAATGTGCTCTGCTTTAATTGCTATACATAGTGCTAGTTTTGGTTTTATAAGTATGAATAATATAATTATAGTTGCATTCAGGCATGCAAGTTTCATTGCTACAAGTGGTTCACTTGCTTGCTTATAACAATGACCTGGAAAAGATGCAGTCTAAATATCCATTCATTTTTTCAGCCAAACTTGCTAGCTTCTATTAATCCACTGCTGTTATTCAGGCTGATCTCTTGATAACTGTAGAACCATTACATATTTTACTGACATTAAAGGTCCCTATAATGAGAAACCACTTGACCCCTGTTACTGACTTGTCTGTTTGTATTTAAGTGCCAAAAATGTTGTTTTAAAACCATTTATTTTTGTCTATATTGTGTGAATTCTGTGAATTTTTTTTAGTTGGAAAAGCATGACTGTAAGTGTTGGGCAGATCAATAGAAGACGCCATACTGAATGCTGAAATGTTTATTGTCAAACATTTTGATTAATCACATGACAGTGAAGTAAATTCCAGTCGGATCAATGAAGATGTTGCATTAATCTTGTTGCATTTCAAGGTCTCTAGCACAGAAGAAGCCTTTAAGGACATCACATGGAGCATCGTTGATTGGTTGGACGTCTGTAAGAAAAAACACACAAATAACCAAGTGATCAAACTCTGGGTGATTGTTATAACTCATCCTTAAGTTCAACATGTAAATAACTGTTGCTAAACCTTCTGAACAGATAACTTTTTCTAAAAGACTTTAAGTAGTTTGTTGCATTCAAAATAACCAAAAGATTTCTCAAAAATCACAAAAGAGCGATAACAGAAAATTCATACCTGTGTGCATCAGCTCCATGCAGTGTTCTATGCCATCAACGTTGTTTGGCTCACCATCACCCCAGCTAGTGAAGCCAGTTATATCTGAGCCATCACTCCATTTCCAGCAAGTTTCCTGAGAAAAACAAAAAAGATCTGATCAGGATGTAATAATTTTTATTACTGAAAATCTCAATTGGATCAGAGGTTACCAAACGCCACCAAGGGAAGAAAAAGGGAAGAATACTGGAACAGTTTCCCAAAAATAAATCTACCATTTTTTTCTGCTGTTTATTGACCTCAACTATGTAGTGTTTTCTTACAGGCCCTATCTTTCTTATAATGGTAAGTATACATCCGTCACTTACCTTATGCGCCTTATAACCTCCAAGCCAAAGTCGTTTGATCTCTCCTGTCAACTCTTGCACCTTTCCTCTCAGAAAGTCAGCATCTTCAGGTTTACGGATGGAAACCAAATTGCCCCCTTGCGCCACACAAGTGGACTAGAGACAGTAAAAAGGGGAGAGGGAGCATTGGATAAACACTGAAAATGATTGAATAGAGTTAAATAATCATATTTACACCAGACCGAGGTCCTACGAATTTATCTAAAAACAAAGATGTTAAATAAATACAGAATCACAAGTATCTTAGTATTAAGAACCTCAGCATCACACCAGTCCTTTTCTCCAGCATGAAACGTGTAACAGCGAGAGTCATGCTCCATCCACCCATCAGGGCAAACCATACAGCAGTCCCCTACAAACACAAATGTCATGTAAGACAGAATAATGATAATCATTTAATAATGGTTAAATTATTTAGCCATCTGCCCATTAAGATGAAATAAGCCTTTTCCTTTACACACTGGTCAGTAACTTTGAGTTGATCACTGAGTTAAGGATGTACAGCTATAGAGCCCTTCAAGCTTGGCTGTAGACACAATATTATACCTACTGTATTTTCAGTCTTGTACACAAAAGTAAAAGATAAATATGCCAACCTTTTTTTGGACATTTTGCCTGTGAATAAAGAAAACACGTGGTTAGCAAATAGATAAATGCTTAAGAGATTTAACCTAAATCATAATAACAAGGTATTTTTAGGAAACAGAACTAAAAACGGAATTCATTTTCACCAAAAAGTATAACTTCACATAAATTACAGTCATATCAGTTGTGATGTTTTCCTTTTTCAATGTTCATCGATTAATTTGGAATTAATTAAATGAGGACTTAGCATGGAAGTAAGTTCTTTTAATGTAAACATGCTTTTTACTAACTTTAATGAGTTCAAGGGCCACCTATATACTTGTTTTTTTCCAGCATCTGTAGCTTGCAGTACAGCCCATGGTGCAGCATCAAAATCAAGCAATACTTACATTTGCTCCCATCCACAGTCCACTGCTCAAGCAAAGGAGCACAACCAGTTGAAGAGTGAGTGTCATCTGCATAGAGATCAGAGGTTGTAAGAGTTAAACTCTTTCACAGACACTTGCGTTATCTAAGGTCATTGTACATGTATAAACTTGAAATATTTTTTTTTCTTCAGTCTACTCAAGATACATTATTGGAAGTCATTACTCAATGTTTCATCTTAGTGAGGACTTCAATGTTACCGCAGATCCATCTTTGATCTTGGGTAACAGAAAACTCATCAAATTAAAAAACATTTTCACACTGTAGGGATATGCGTTTCTAGCTAATACATGGTTCACGGTTAAGATAAAAACAGGACTGTGATAAGCTGTTCCAGATCAGTTGTAGAATTTCCTTGTAGCTTTAAGATATTTTTTCTTTTTCAATTATAATGGAATAACATCGTGGTTACCTCCATTATAGTAAATTATGAAATAGAGTGAGGAACAAACCAAGATTATATGCAGCAAATACAGTGAAAAGAAGAAAGACCCAAACTCCTACCTTGCTGTGATGATCAGTTAAGGCTGGATTTGGAGAAATCAGACAACGTCTTGGAGAGAAACTACTCCTTTTATACCTTATACTGATGGTTTGATTTGGAAATTTGCATATTACTAGAAAGAACTAGGACAATATTACTCATACAATAAACTCTTATTTTTCAACAGCTTCATATCACAGTTGCAATTGAAAAACTATTTGTGGAAAATGTTCACCATGATGAATAAATAAGAACAAGGATGCATTTAAAAAATGGATTCTACATAAATGTTTAGAGTTTCAAACACTCACATCATTAATTTAAGGTTATATCACCTCTATGTTTTATTTGATATTCGTCATAAAAAATTAAATACTGAATATCGAACTATCACACTTTCTCATGAGTGAGGTGGACTCTTCTTTGTTTAATCATGTTTTCATTGGCATATTAGACACATATTGAAATATTTCATCAGTCGTCACCTGGTCATTATGGTGACAAACCCAAGCCTGTACTATTTTACCAGAATGATTCATTTAACACTGTGCGAACACGTTAAGGCCTCGTCACCCATACAGCTGAAGGTTTCAAACATTTCAGACATGGCATGTTTACCATTGTGTTGCATCAGCGGGGTATTCCACGAAGCTAGCTTAGCTCAAAGCCTGGCTTATTTCTGTTAGTCTTGCTAACTTTAGTGAGAGTTAGGTTCCACAAACGAGGCTCAGGGCATGCGTGGTTTGATAACTATGGTAACTCAGCCAGCGCGACAAGCCTGGTCCCAGGCAGGCTTACTGTCAAGCTTAGTTTAGCTGCATCTACGAGAATGTCCGACGGGCTTCCGAAAGATGCTTTGTGAAACTCGTGTCTTACATTAAGTTAATCTTTATCTGTAATGAATGATGTTCTTGTCTGGAAACATAAATTGAGACCCTTTTTAAACACAGGAATAACCGTGAACATGTCAGATACTACACCAACCCCATGGATTACAGAGAAATTAATGGGTGAGTGGGTAGAGTGCAGGGTGAAGAGTGCCGGTGAGATGTAGCTTTTATTGCGCTGTGGGTCTGATCCCATCAGCAGTTACTATTTGGAAATATCAGATTTTTTATCTTTTATTCTGTCACCCTCAAAGTACAGTCAACCCATAACAGAATAAAGGCACAAACTGTCTTATAAAAAAAATAGAAGGCGACAACAGCCACAACTTTCGATAAAAATACCTTCCTTTTACCAGCAGTCCATTCTGATTATGATGGTAATCTAAAGGCAATGCCAAAGGATGAGATAACTATTATATTTGTGTACAAGCTTATTTGTGTCTTCTCCCTTACTTAACCCATTTAAACCGGGACAGCATGTACACATTTCAACCATCCAAGCCGGGAGCATGGCTGCACATTTCTACCCTTCAAGCAGATACGTCATCTTGTAACATTCTGTAGTTTTTGCTTGTTAAAACATTTAGGAGCAGAGAAGAATACAGTTAGGGGTGTGGAAGTCAAATGTCATCCCATTCTTCAGCTTTTTGGGGCTCTGTCTTTACCTTTTTATGAAATGCAAGGAATTATCAACTGAACCTCTTGATCAGTGCCCTCTCTCAAGTTATTTTTAAGTTAAATCCTCTGAAGTCTAACAACCTATCTAGAAAGATGTCAGCTGCTGACTGCAAAAGAAGGGTTCCTGTTGATTCACATAATTTCAGGATATTTTGCTCATCGGTCTTAAGGTCAGATGCCCTCTGACCTTCACTCATACAGTGAGTATAATCAATCAATCAATTAATTAATAAATCAACCATCAGTGTACAACATCGAGCAAGGGTGAAAGGGCACACCATTGTGACAAGCCAATATGTATGTTTATATTGTGTGACAGAACTAGTATTTACTGAAACAATTTTCTCTGTCAGTCAACAAGATTATAATCAAGTAAATACTGAAGATGCAAATTAGATCTACAAATTAACCCTTGACAATGAAGAGAGCTGCAACAAATTAGAAGTTGATGAAAAACAAGGAACGTAAGCCTTTAATTGGCTTTTGGTTTCGCATGGTATTCACAAAAGTAAAAATGATTGCAAATTTCTGTGTCCTCTGCCATCATAAGTCAAAGGTTTCCAATGACATACAAACCACAAACCCAGTGAAGTTTGGGCATTTCTTAAAATATGAATGAGCGCAAATTACAATGGTTTGAAATCCTTTTTTCCCATCTCTGTTCAATTGAATTCATTTCTTGTCTACTCTTGTTTTGTATCATGTTTCTCCAGTGGTTGTTAAAGGCAAGTGCAAAGGCATTAGGATCTGCCAATTGCATTGGAAGTTAGGTTCCATTTCTTCATGAACGCCCTGCAACATCCTCCACTGACCCTCAGGTTGTTTAAGGTTTTCTAGACAGTCCAAGGCTGGTCATGGCCAGTAGCGAGACATTCATCTGGGGTGATGCCTCTCTCTGTCCCTGGGGTTGTCTGGCTGCCAAGGCTGTTCCAGTAGCTGTGCCACTTTGCAATCCTAGCAGCAGGATATGTTTGTCTGGAATCACATGTCATCTATTTTTAGAAGAATTAAAAGGTCTGATGGTTGTGGGTACAAAGGATCTTCTGAATCCCTCCATTCCTCAGCAAAGAGAAAGGAGCTATCCACCACTAGTGTTTTTTTTTTGTAAACAGGATGTAGAGTCTGTATCAATTGTTTCTTAGAGAAAATAACACCCCACCTACACCAACTACATTTTTATGTAGTTGCTGATTTCCCACCTTTTTAGGTAGCCATGTTCCTTCTGGCAGGGGGACTACCAATGGAAATTAGCCTTGCGGCTACAATTGGGTCCATTTACATTTTATCTTTTTAAAATGTTCATTAATGTACACTGTCTCTCTTTAACAAATAAAAAAGGAAACCTCATGAGAGTGAAGCCAGGTAGATCCACATGGGAGTCTGAGTTGTGTCAAATCAACCAGTTTTCAGTAAAATGGTAGGTACTATGCAACAAACCCAAGGAGCTTAGGGCTCACTTTAGCCAAATCAGTACGAAATTAAAAAAGGAAGCTTATAGTGGGGCGGGCATGTCCATAATAGGACACCATGAGATGGCTGTGATCCAGGATAAGCAGGGACAGTAGCAGGACTGAGAAACTTAGCTGAAAGGACTTATACAGCATTATGGAAAATTAGTTCAAATTCCTGACAGGGGTTGCTTAGAACATACTACTGTCACCCCAGCACTTACAATATCAGGCATACCTATAAAGGCATTTATGTTCAAAGACAGTATCCCTGTCTTTGGGGTTGCTGCACATTGTGCTAGTCTGTAAGATAAGTCTGTTGCAAGATAAGTATGTGTGAGCCATGACTAAGCTCTGAAAAGCTGCAAGACCTGAAAGTAGGACATGCCAAGCTCATATAAAAGGTGTAATCTGAAGAATACTGCAATCATAAAATTTGTCAGAGAGGGAAGGAAAAGCAAAAGTGGTAGACGATTGGTAAATTATTTGATCGCATTCAATACTAGGTTACGATCCAATTCTATTTTTATGTTAGATCAGCACATGCAGTTTATATTTATACACTGTGTTACTGTGTTCAAAGGCAACCTATACGATCTGTTTTTCCTCTGTTATGAAACGTGAGATATTGTGACTGTTGGTGTTGGACAGATGAGGACAGAGACATCATACTGAATGCTAAGAACTTCTTTATTGTGACACATTTCGTTAAAAAAGTATGATTTTCCATGTTGCATCATGTTGCATTTCAGGGTCTCTAGCACAGAAGAAGCCTTTAAGGACGTCACATGGAGCATCGTTGATAGGCTGGAGGTCTGTATGAAAACATACACATAACCAAGTGATCAAACTCTGGGTGATTATTATAACTCATCCTTAAGTTCAACATGTAAACATCTGTTGTTCAACCTTCTAAACTTTTTCTTAAAGACTAAGTAGTTTGTCGCATTCAAAATAACCAAAAGATTTCTCAAAAATTACAAAAGAGCGATAACAGAAAATTCATACCTGTGTGCATCAGCTCCATGCAGTGTTCTATGCCATCAACGTTATTTGGTTCACCTGCACCCCAGCCAGTGAAGCCAGTTATATCTGAGCCATCACTCCATTTCCAGCAAGTTTCCTGAGAAAAACAAAAAAGATCTGATCAGGATGTAATAATTTTTATTACTGAAAAACTGGATTGGATCAGAGGTTTCCAAATGCCACCAAGGGAAGAAAAAGGGAAGAATACTGGAACAGTTTCCCAAAAATAAATCTACCATTTTTTTCTGCTGTTTATTGACCTCAACTATGTAGTGTTTTCTTACAGCCCCTATCTTTCTTATAATGGTAAGTATACATCCGTCACTTACCTTATGCGCCTTATAACCTCCAAGCCAAAGTCGTTTGATCGCTCCTGTCAACTCTTGCACCTTTCCTCTCAGAAAGTCAGCATCTTCAGGTTTACGGATGGAAACCAAATTGCCCCCTTGCGCCACACAAGTGGACTAGAGACAGTAAAAAGGGGAGAGGGAGCATTGGATAAACACTGAAAATGATTGAATAGAGTTAAATAATCATATTTACACCAGACTGAGGTCCTACGAATTTATCTAAAAACAAAGATGTTAAATAAATACAGAATCACAAGTATCTTATTATTAAGAACCTCAGCATCACACCAGTCCTTTTCTCCAGCATGAAACATGTAACAGCGAGAGTCATGCTCCATCCACCCATCAGGGCAAACCATACAGCAGTCCCCTACAAACACAAATGTCATGTAAGACAGAATAATGATAATCATTTAATAATGGTTAAATTATTTAGCCATCTGCCCATTAAGATGAAATAAGTCTTTTCCTTTACACACTGGTCAGTAACTTTGAGTTGATCACTGAGTTAAGGATGTACAGCTATAGAGCCCTTCAAGCTTGGCTGTAGACACAATATTATACCTACTGTATTTTCAGTCTTGTACACAAAAGTAAAAGATAAATATGCCAACCTTTTTTTGGACATTTTGCCTGTGAATGAAAAAAAAAAGGTTAGCAAATAGATAAATGCTTAAGAGATTTAACCTAAATCATAATAACAAGGTATTTTTAGGAAACAGAACTAAAAACGGAATTCATTTTCACCAAAAAGTATAACTTCACATAAACTACAGTCATATCAGTTGTGATGTTTTCCTTTTTCAATGTTCATAGATTCATTTGGAATTAATTAAATGAGGACTTAGCATGGAAGTAAGTTCTTTTAATGTAAACATGCTTTTCACTAACTTTAATAAGTTCAAGGGCCACCTATATACTTGTTTTTTTTCCAGCATCTGTAGCTTGCAGTACAGCCCATGGTGCAGCATCAAAATCAAGCAATACTTACATTTGCTCCCATCCACAGTCCACTGCTCAAGCAAAGGAGCACAACCAGTTGAAGAGTGAGTGTCATCTGCTTAGAGATCAGAGGTTGTAAGAGTAAAACTCTTTCACAGACACTTGCGTTATCTAAGGTCATTGTACATGTATAAACTTAAAATTTTTTTTTTTCTTCAGTCTACTCAAGATACATTATTGGAAGTCATTACTCAATGTTTCATCTTAGTGAGGACTTCAATGTTACCGCAGATCCATCTTTGATCTTGGGTAACAGAAAACTCATCAAATTAAAAAACATTTTCACACTGTAGGGATATGAATTTCTAGCTAATTCATGGTTCACGATTTAGATAAAAACAGGACTGTGATAAGCTGTTCCAGATCAGTTGTAGAATTTCCTTGTAGCTTTAAGATATTTCTTTTTCAATTATAATGGAATAACATCGTGGTTACCTCCATTATAGTAAATTATGAAATAGAGTGAGGAACAAACCAAGATTATAGGCAGCAAATACAGTGAAAAGAAGAAAGACCCAAACTCCTACCTTGCTGTGATGATCAGTTAAGGCTGGATTTGGAGAAATCAGACAATGTCTTGGAGAGAAACTACTCCTTTTATACCTTATACTGATGGTTTGATTTGGAAATTTGCATATTACTAGAAAGAACTAGGACAATATTACTCATACAATAAACTCTTTTTTTTTAACAGCTTTATATCACAGTTGCAATTGAAAAACTATTTGTGGAAAATGTTCACCATGATGAATAGATAAGAACAAGGATGCATTTTAAAAAATGGATTCTACATAAATGTTTAGAGTTTCAAACACTCACATCATTAATTTAAGGTTATATCACCTCTATGTTTTATTTGATATTCGTCATAAAAAATTAAATACTGAATATCGAACTATCACACTTTCTCATGAGTGAGGTGGACTCTTCTTTGTTTAATCATGTTTTCATTGGCATATTAGACACATAATGAAATATTTCATCAGTCGTCACTTGGTCATTATGGTGACAAACCCAAGCCTGTACTATTTTACCAGAATGATTCATTTAACACTGTGCAAACACGTTAAGGCCTCGTCACCCATACAGCTGCAGGTTTCAAACATTTCAGACATGGCATGTTTACCATTGTGTTGCATCAGCGGGGTATTCCACGAAGCTAGCTTAGCTCAAAGCCTGGCTTATTTCTGTTAGTCTTGCTAACTTTAGTGAGAGTTAGGTTCCACAAACGAGGCTCAGGGCATGCGTGGTTTGATAACTATGGTAACTCAGCCAGCGCGACAAGCCTAGTCCCAGGCAGGCTTACTGTCAGGCTTAGTTTAGCTGCATCTACGAGAATGTCCGACGGGCTTCCGAAAGATGCTTTGTGAAACTCATGTCTTACATTAAGTTAATCTTTATCTGTAATGAATGATGTTCTTGTCTGGAAACATAAATTGAGACCCTTTTTAAACACAGGAATAACCGTGAACATGTCAGATACTACACCAACCCCATGGATTACAGAGAAATTAATGGGTGAGTGGGTAGAGTGCATGGTGAAGAGTGCCGGTGAGATGTAGCTTTTATTGCGCTGTGGGTTTGATGCCATCAGCAGTTACTATTTGGAAATATCAGATTTTCTATCTTTTATTCTGTCACCCTCAAAGTACAGTCAACCCATATCAGAATAAAGGCACAAACTGTCTTATAAAAAAAATAGAAGGCGACAACAGCAACAACTTTCGATAAAAATACCTTCCTTTTACCAGCAGTCCATTCTGATTATGATGGTATAAAGGCAATGCCAAAGGATGAGATAACTATTATATTTGTGTACAAGCTTGTTTGTGTCTTCTCCCTTACTTAACCCATTTAAACCGGGACAGCATGTACGCATTTCAACCATCCAAGCCGGGAGCATGGCTGCACATTTCTACCCTTCAAGCAGATACGTCATCTTGTAACATTCTGTAGTTTTTGCTTGTTAAAACATTTAGGAGCAGAGAAGAATACAGTTAGGGGTGTGGAAGTCAAATGTCATCCCATTCTTCAGCTTTTTGGGGCTCTGTCTTTACCTTTTTATGAAATGCAAGGAATTATCAACTGAACCTCTTGATCAGTGCCCTCTCTCAAGTTATTTTTAAGTTAATTCCTCTTAAGTCTAACAACCTATCTAGAAAGATGTCAGCTGCTGACTGCAAAAGAAGGGTTCCTGTTGATTCACATAATTTCAGGATATTTTGCTCATCGGTCTAAAGGTCAGATGCCCTCTGACCTTCACTCATACAGTGAGTATAATCAATCAATCAATTAATCAACTAGTATTTACTGAAACAATTTTCTCTGTCAGTCAACAAGATTATAATCAAGTAAATACTGAAGATGCAAATTAGATCTACAAATTAACCCTTGACAATGAAGAGAGCTGCAACAAATTAGAAGTTGATGAAAAACAAGGAACGTAAGCCTTTAATTGGCTTTTGGTTTCGCATGGTATTCACAAAAGTAAAAATGATTGCAAATTTCTGTGTCCTCTGCCATCATAAGTCAAAGGTTTCCAATGACATACAAACCACAAACCCAGTGAAGTTTGGGCATTTCTTAAAATATGAATGAGCGCAAATTACAATGGTTTGAAATCCTTTTTTCCCATCTCTGTTCAATTGAATTCATTTCTTGTCTACTCTTGTTTTGTATCATGTTTCTCCAGTGGTTGTTAAAGGCAAGTGCAAAGGCATTAGGATCTGCCAATTGCATTGGAAGTTAGGTTCCATTTCTTCATGAACGCCCTGCAACATCCTCCACTGACCCTCAGGTTGTTTAAGGTTTTCTAGACAGTCCAAGGCTGGTCATGGCCAGTAGCGAGACATTCATCTGGGGTGATGCCTCTCTCTGTCCCTGGGGTTGTCTGGCTGCCAAGGCTGTTCCAGTAGCTGTGCCACTTTGCAATCCTAGCAGCAGGATATGTTTGTCTGGAATCACATGTCATCTATTTTTAGAAGAATTAAAAGGTCTGATGGTTGTGGGTACAAAGGATCTTCTGAATCCCTCCATTCCTCAGCAAAGAGAAAGGAGCTATCCACCACTAGTGTTTTTTTTTGTAAACAGGATGTAGAGTCTGTATCAATTGTTTCTTAGAGAAAATAACACCCCACCTACACCAACTACATTTTTATGTAGTTGCTGATTTCCCACCTTTTTAGGTAGCCATGTTCCTTCTGGCAGGGGGACTACCAATGGAAATTAGCCTTGCGGCTACAATTGGGTCCATTTACATTTTATCTTTTTAAAATGTTCATTAATGTACACTGTCTCTCTTTAACAAATAAAAAAGGAAACCTCATGAGAGTGAAGCCAGGTAGATCCACATGGGAGTCTGAGTTGTGTCAAATCAACCAGTTTTCAGTAAAATGGTAGGTACTATGCAACAAACCCAAGGAGCTTAGGGCTCACTTTAGCCAAATCAGTACGAAATTAAAAAAGGAAGCTTATAGTGGGGCGGGCATGTCCATAATAGAACACCATGAGATGGCTGTGATCCAGGATAAGCAGGGACAGTAGCAGGACTGAGAAACTTAGCTGAAAGGACTGTTCAAAGACAGTATCCCTGTCTTTGGGATTGCTGCACATTGTGCTAGTCTGTAAGATAAGTCTGTTGCAAGATAAGTATGTGTGAGCCATGACTAAGCTCTGAAAAGCTGCAAGACCTGAAAGTAAGACATGCCAAGCTCATATAAAAGGTGTAATCTGAAGAATACTGCAATCATAAAATTTGTCAGAGAGGGAAGGAAAAGCAAAAGTGGTAGACGATTGGTAAATTATTTGATCGCATTCAATACTAGGTTACGATCCAATTCTATTTTTATGTTAGATCAGCACATGCAGTTTATATTTATACACTGTGTTACTGTGTTCAAAGGCAACCTATACGATCTGTTTTTCCTCTGTTATGAAACGTGAGATATTGTGACTGTTGGTGTTGGACAGATGAGGACAGAGGCATCATACTGAATGCTAAGAACTTGTTTATTGTGACACATTTCGTTGATTCATCAACATGTGAGGACAGCCAAGGCAATGACATCAGTACCACTGAAGATGTTGCCTTTAATCTTGTTGCATTTCAGGGTCTCTAGCACAGAAGAAGCCTTTAAGGACGTCACATGGAGCATCGTTGATTGGCTGGAGGTCTGTATGAAAACATACACATAACCAAGTGATCAAACTCTGGGTGATTATTATAACTCATCCTTAAGTTCAACATGTAAACATCTGTTGTTCAACCTTCTAAACAGATAACCTTTTCTTAAAGACTTTAAGTAGTTTGTCGCATTCAAAATAACCAAAAGATTTCTCAAAAATCACAAAAGGTAATAACAGTAATTTTGTACCTGTGTGCATCAGCTCCATGCAGTGTTCTTTTTCATCAACGTTGTTTGGCTCACCTGCACCCCAGCCAGTGAAGCCAGTTATATCTGAGCCATCACTCCATTTCCAGCAATGATCCTGAGAAAAACAAAAAAGATCTGATCAGGATGTAATAATTTTTATTACTGAAAAACTCAATTGGATCAGAGGTTACCAAATGCCACCAAGGGAAGAAAAAGGGCAGAATACTGGAACAGTTTCCCAAAAATAAATCTACCATTTTTTTCTGCTGTTTATTGACCTCAACTATGTTCAACTAGTGTTTTCTGGCAGCCTCTATCTTTCCTACAATGGTAAGTATACTTCGTCACTGACCTTATGCGCCACATAACCTCCAAGCCATAGTCGTCTGATCTGTCCTGTTAACTTGACCACCTGTTTTCTCAGAAAGTCAGCATCTTCAGGTTTACGTATGGAAACCAAATTGCCCCCTTCCTTCACGCAAGTGGACTAAGGACAGCAAACAAAGCAAGAGGGAGCATTGGATAAACATCAAAAATGATTGAATATAGACTAAAATTATAATATTTGCATCAGACTGAGGTCCTACAAATGTATCCTGTAACAAAGACATTAAATAAATACAGAATCATAGGTATCTTATAATTAAGAACCTCAGCATCACACCAGTCCATCGCTTTAGCGTGAAACATGTAACAGCGAGAGTCATGCTTCATCCACCCCTCAGGGCAAACCATACAGCAGTCCCCTACAAACACAAATGTCATGTTAGACATTAAATATTAGTAATTTTTCAATAATGGTTAAATTGTGTAGCAGCTGCTTATTAAGATGATATAATTCTTCCTCTATTCATTCAGTAACTTTGAGTCGATAACTGAGACGAGGCTGAGCAGCTATAGAGCACCTCAAGCTTGGCTGCAGACACAAAATTGTACCTACTGTGTACAGCCTTGTACACAAAAGTCAAGAAAACCGTGTACCAACCTTTTTTTGGACATTTTGCCTGTGAATTAAGAAAACACAATGTTAACAATAGATAAATCCAAAAGATTAAACCTTAGGTAACTTTCCTGTCTACAAACTACAAGAGAAATTTACCCTCATGATTCTGAGAAAGGACTTAAATCATGGAGGAAAGTATCACAATATGTACGACTTTGTGAAAAAAAGTAACTTTGTGGAAACAGTGCTGAAAAACAAATTCATTTTTACCAAAAGGTTCAACTTCTGTGAACTACAGTCATATCAGTTGTGATGCCTTCCTTTTTCAATGTTCTCAGATTTATTTGGAATTAATTAAATGGGGAGTAAGCATGGAAGTAAGTTTTTTTTTTATGTAAACATGCTTTTCTCTGACTTTAATGAGTTCAAGGGCCACCAATATATTTGTTTTTTCCAGCATCTACAGCTTGCAGTACAGCCCATGATGCCGCATCAAAATCAAGCAATACTTACATTTGCTCCCATCCACAGTCCACTGCTCAAGCCAAGGAGCACAACCAGTTGAAGAGTGAGTGTCATCTGCAGAGAGATCAAAGGTTGTAAAAGTTTAACTCTTTGACAGACACTTGTGTTATCTAAGGTCATTGTACATCTAAAAAGATGAAAAAAAAATACCTCAGTCTACTCAAGATACATTATTAGAAGTAATTACTCAATGTTTCATTAAAGTGAGGACCACAATGTTACCGCAGATCCATCTTTGATTGTGGGTATATTAATTGTTATATATGTTCTAACAGGTAAACTCATCTTATTAAAAAACATTTTCATACCCTAGCGATATGAATTTCCAGCTAATACATGGTTCACGATTTCATAATAATGATAATGCATCAGATTTCATACAGTGCTTTATTCGAGACCCTAAAAGCGCTTTACATTGGATACATCATTCATTCACTCACACAGTCACACCTTGGTGGTGGTAAACTACCATAGTAGTCACAGCTGCCCTGGGGCAGGTTGACGAAAATGTGGCAGCCAATTTGCGCCTATGGCCTCACCAACCACTCACACACAACACTCACAATCATAGACCAGTGGAGGACACACACTGGGAGCAAGGTGGGTTAAGTGTCTTGCCCAAGGACACAACGGACAGACTCGAGATAGGGGGGAATCGAACCGCCAACCTTCCGGATATTGGTCGACCGCCCTACCTCCTGAGCTACTGCCGCCTAAAAATTTAGATTAAAAAAAGGGCTGTGATAAGCTGTTCCAGATCAGTTGTAGAATCACTTGAAGATCTTTCTTTTTCCATTGTAATGGAATAACCTCTTGTTTTACCTGCATAATTGTAAATGATTAATAAAGTGAGGAAAGTTTATATGCAGCAAATTCAGTGAAAAGAAGAAAGACCCAAACTCCTACCTTGCTGTGATGATCAGTTGAGGATGGATTTGGAGAAATCAGACAATGTCTTGGAGAGAAACTACTCCTTATATATCTTATACTGATGGTTTGATTTGGAAATTTGCATATTACTAGTAAGAACTAGGACAATACTGCTAGTACAATAAACATATAGCATAAGCATATTTCAACAGCCTTGACTGACAGTTGCAATTAAAAAACTATTCATGGAAAATCTGCACCATGATGAATAAATAAGGGCAAGGATGTATTCGAAAAAAGAGATTCCACATAAGTGTATCGAGTTTCAAACACTTACATCATTTATTTAAGGTTATATCACCTCTATGTTTTATCTGATATTTGTCATAAAAAATTTAATACTGTAATAGCATACTATCACACTTTCTCACGATTCAGGTGGACTCTTCTTTGTTCAATCATGTTTTCATTTGCATATTAGACACGTGTAACGTACATAATAGGACATCAGTCGTCACCTGGTCATTATGGTGACAAACTCATGCCTGTATTATTTTACTACAATAATTCATTAAACACTGTGCGAAGATATTAAGGCCTTGTCATCCATCCAGCTACAGGTTTCAAACGTTTGAGACATGGCATGTTTACCATTGTGTTGCATCAGCCCTTCTTTTGGCAATGCTTGTTTAACATTTAGGAGCTGAGGAGACTACTGTTAGGAGTGTGGAAGTCAAATTTCATCTTATCCTTTAGCTGTTTGATGGTTTGTATTTGTCATGTCCTGAAATGCAAGGAATTATGAACTTGGCCTCTCGATCAGTGCCCTCTCTCTATGAAGTCTTACAGCCTTTCTAGAAAGATGTCAGCTGTTGACTACAAAAGAAGGGTCCCTGTTGATCATGAATGCATACAAGCTGGACTAGGTTTTACTGGATTTCTGGCAACAATAGTCTGTTGGCAATTTAAAAAACACACTTCTAGTATCCTGTCCTGTTACATCCCTGTCTCTGCTGCTTTCTTGAAGATGTTCTGCTGTCTCTTTAAAGACACATTTAGGTTCAAAAACTGTTGTATTCTTTAAAACTAATAAATAACATTTGTGTAAGTTTGATGAGGTCTGATTTTGCACTAAAGAAAAGAAGCTGCAAAAAAAGATTCTCAGTAAATTTGACTGAAACTCTGTTCTCCATCAATAAACAAAATTATAATCAGAAGTAAAAACTAAAAGATGTATATTAGGACTAAAAATTAACCCTTGACAATGAATGCAGCTGCAACACATTAGAAGCTGGTGAAAAACAGGGAATGCAAGCCTTGAGTTGCCTTACATGGTGTTGACAAAAGTAAAAATGTTTGCAAATTTCTGTGTCCTCTGCCATCAACATGCCCTGTCATATGTCAAAGGTTTCTAATGACATACAAATCACATATGACATCACAATGACATACAAGTTTTTTGATGGCTTTCCTCCAGATTGTTGGTATGTGCTGGATCTTTAGGCAGGTGTTGTGTATGTTCATAAGCCATTGTTTGACTGCTGAGGCTAGGTGGGTAATTATTTTAGTCACTAGGCCTGTCGCGATAATCAATAAATCGCCTAATCGCTTGGTAAATAAAAACAAGGTCGGAAATTTTGCCAGCCTCGATAATTAACGTGTGTTTGTTTTCCTCGCTACCAAACACGCTGGATGAGAGAAGAGGTCACACTCTGCGCATTTTTCTCGACACCTGGGTGCGTTGGCTCTATAGCGGAATGAACGCAGTGAACCCTCCTGTCAGTCATTCAGTCTCTTTGTCACGGTGGGGGGGGGGGGGGGGGGATATGTCACATTTGTTCGAAAGTTTTGGTGACAAAGAAGGGGAATACGACGTACATGCATGCACACCTCAAGCACAATCATCCCCACGGATGATTGTGCTTGAGGTGCGCATGCATGTTCTTTGTTGACCTGTTGAGGAATAGCACCAAAAGCTAATTATTAAGTGCAACTTTGTTTACAGACTCGAGACTTCACTTTATTTATTGTTTTAATAGTTATGTGTGGAGTGAAGTTTTTGTTCCGTACCAGAGACAAGGTCTATTTTTTTTACTGTTTGTAGTTGTGATTGTGGTTTTTATTTGAATGCAGTTTTTGATAAAACAGAATGTGGGTCCATTTTATTTTCATGGTTTTTTGGTTGTCTTCTTTGTTTATTATATTTGTTCATCCTAGTTCAAAGTTCTTAATCTTGAGCAATTAAAGTTAATTGCTTTTGACATGGTGTACTCGCATTATTATGCCATATGTTATCATTATAATTTGAAAAACGGAGTCAATAATATCGTTTATCGGCAATAATTTGTAGCACAATTATCGTCCAGCAAAATTTGTTATCGTGAAAGGCCCATTAGTCACTATGTCATCAGGACCTTCAGCTTTACCCAGCTTTAAGTTTCTTATACCTGCTTCAACCTCCTCAAAGGTGAAAGTCTTCGTTAGTATCAGCATGCACTGCTGACTGGTGAATTGGTGTTGTTCTTTGGCCCTCAGCCTCACTGCTAATCTCCTGTTAGCTGAGAAGCTCTTTTATGTAAGTTTTCCATTTAGAAGAACACACAGAAAAGCATGTTTGCCAGATAGGGACTAATGTAACTTTGGTGCTAGGTGATAAAATGTCAAGTATAACGATGCAATGTACTTTGTGCCAGTTAACACAAACACATACCTGTTAACACAAACGCCACAATAAATGCTGCATAGAAGTTTTTTTATTGATTTACATTTCAGCTTTTACCAATGATAATGTAATCAATGGGTTAGAAAGAGAGTTTAGGGATATTTCTTCAGGATCACAAAGGATGTTGCATGATTTAATCCGTTTCAACAACTTCTCTGCTACAAAGAACAGATTGCTTGATATCACATGGGACGTCATTGACAGGAAACCCATCTGTAATGATACACAGAAGAAAGATTTCAGCAAATAAACTCTGAGCAATTCTTTTTCCATTCAGCTACCAGTAAACCAAAAGTGATATCTTGCCTAAAGAAATTCTGTATCCTATATACTGAATTCAGAAAAAAAAGTCACAAAGCAAATACGTTGTAGATTTATACCTGCATCTCTCAGATGCATGCAATGCTCATTCCCTCCATGGTTGTTTGGCTCCCCGTCACCCCAGAATTCAGAAGACCATGCTGAGCCATCACTCCATCTCCACACAGACTCCTACAAGAAAAAAGTGTCCAGTCAATGACTGAGATTTTTTTAAATCAGATGTTTTCTGGATTCAAGTTGTCATATAAACTGATCATTTGGATATTACTAAGCTTTTGTCATGGGGATGAACTGTCACACAGTGACAAAAATTAAATCCTTTTCTCTTCAACCTTAAATGATCTTTATTGCTTTTCAGTCATCACAAACACTGTAATTGTTAGAGGGAGCATGGCTAAAAGGGAAATCAAAATTTCCACTACTCACTGTGGTAAAAAGCACAAATCATTTTTCTTTCTTGAGCACCTGTATCTAGTATTAATTTGGTCTATCAAGTTCATTTCCGTTTTTTTTTATTTTATTTCCCTTCATGTAACTTAGATTGGGTGCCATTTTTTCTGTAACTAGTGGTTAGCTTAATTACAGTGCAATTAGCATCTCTTTAGCTTCTAATTAACTGTGGTCTTGTCCTCAACAATTTGCCTCTTTTGCAAGTAATTGAAGTTTGCTGGATTGGCTAACATGCTTTTGATCTTTGTTCAGCGTACCTATGTATGTCTTGTAGGTTGGCATTATATAACTCTTTTTAAAAAAAAGACTAACCTTGACTGCATCAGTGCCTCCAAGCCAGGTTCCCTGATTTTTGCCTGTAAGCTGAACAACCAACTGCCTCACAAAATCGAGTTCATCCTGGTCAGCAATTGAGGCAAGATTTCCTCCTTTGCCTAAACAAAAAGACTAATGTGGGCAAAAATAAATAAAAATGAGTGGCAGTGAAATACACAGCAAGATTGTACAAATAACAGCAGAGCACAGCCGCTATAAATGACTCTTGTAGCAAAAACTTGACAATAAAAGCAGTGTTACGATTTTGTGTTCTTAATTTATGGAGTACCTCAGCATCGTGCCTCTCTTTCAGTTCATGGTTGAAGAGGAAACAGCGAGACTTGTGCGTTAACCAACCCTCAGGGCAGGACTTGCAGGGTTCTAAAACAGATTTTGAGCAATATTCAAATGTTAACCCCAAATAAAAAATTGCAGTTTCTACACATCTTCCTTTACAGGATCAAAAGTTATCCTACACTTTGGTCAATAACTATACATAGCTTGCAAACTCTCTAGGTGTGCACCTGTTTTGTGGTTAAATGATTAACTTTCCTTAGTCCTCATCTTTCTCAAATCTCACTTTTTTACACAGCAAAGAACAAATGGGTTTAGACCTAAATAAAACAAAACAATCCTGTAAATTTTTGTTGAATTGATAAAATATGTCAATGGGTGCATATTAAGGACTTTATATTCATACTACATCACCAGATTTACCTTACTGGAAGGGAAGTAATACGGCAACTGAAGATTGCAGCTGTACTAAACCTAAACATTGGTAGAAATGAGCTCCTGCGAGACTTTATTGTTAGAGCATTGGCAACCCAGCATCTGCTGCAGTATGAAAAGCTGGATTAGAAATTTTAAACAGCTGCTTATGAAGGTACCTTATTTTGATTAAATTTTACCTAGAGTCATGATATTTGACATCAATACTCTCAATAGCCTGTTTATAAATAGAGAAATATTTAAAAATGACCATGTTCACCACATACTTGTGATGAAACTCTATGAAAATAAGTACCAACCTTTATACCAAGCCTGTGAAAGAAAAAAATAGCCGTATTAAAGCTCTTTTTTAAAATGAAGTGTGTAAATGGGCATATGACATATAGTGTTATAATTCCCATTTGCTACAGCATGCAGCGTGACTGAGTGTAGCACAAGAATCAAACAATACTTACATTTGCTCCCATCCACAGTCCACTGCTCAAGCCAAGGAGCACAAGAAGTTGAAGAGTGAGTGTCATCTGCACATAGATCAGACACTGTGAATAAGAATTGCTGAAAAGTGATATGTAATCTTAAGAACTACATAGTTCAGATTGGAGAGAATTTCAAAACTTCTACAACATGAGTTTTAAATTTCCATATTACAACTTTATTGCATTTAGTGTTCAGCAATATCATTACTGTCCAGCTTTACATGTCTATAGAAATAAGCAGAGATAAGAAACCATAGAAAGGCGAAAATGCTACGAGGAGAGGTAAGAACCAAGTCCTCACCTTGTATTAATGATCAGGGTAGACTGAGTTTCCAGGAAGCATGTCAAGTTTTGTAGAGAAACGACTCTTCTTATACCTTCTACGGATGTTAGATTCAGAAATTTGCATATTACCAGGTAATCAAAGTAAAATATTGATTCTATTGATGAGAATAAAGAAATATTTGCTGGTAATTTCTTACAAGGATGTAGTCTAGCAAGTGATTAAATAAGGGCAAGGACATTTATCATCAACTCTCTTACTTTTTTTTGGAAAGCTGTTATTATTCATTAATATGTTATATTTACACTTTAGTCTCAACACTTACTAATAATACCTTGTCATGGTTTAGTGATTACACAATGATGCTTAATGTCACCGCACCCCAAACTACACATTAGTCAACTCTTAGAGGAAACATCTTATCTGGAAACATTCACATAGAGGTGCCCCAAAAACTTGCTGACAGGGATAAAGATGTGAAAGGGCAACCACTCCAGCATATTGAAAATATGCAGCAACTATTGAATAGATGAACCCATAGGCCAAACAAAAAACTAATTAAACATGTCTTCTTCAAGAAGTTTTCAAATAACTTCTTTTATGGGGATCAAGCTGGCCAAGAATTTGGCATGGAAAGTCTCAAACATAAAGCATAGTTTGAAATAAATAGATGGGTTATGTCCTTGTCAAATTGCAAAAATCTGCAAAAGCACTACGGTGAAGCTCTGCCTTCATCACATTTTTGTACTTTCATATTGATCAAAGGTAGGCAGTCCCGAGGTTAAATTCCATGCTTAAGATCTTTTTACAGACCTAAGACCCAGTCACCTTTTGTTACAGTCTGCAGCCTTCCCCATGATTGTGTGCCCTACCGATCCAGACCAACATACAATTTAAAGGCCCAGGACACCTTTGCGTGTGTGTTTAGCTGATTTTCAGTGATATTTTCCTGCTAACCAGTGGCATGTAAAGTGCGCTGAAAGCTCGCCGATTCAAACCTGGTCAGCTTTCAGCGCAGGTGGAGCGCAGCTGGTCTAGTGGCATTTTGGTAGACTGGCGGCGTATCGGAATACGTCACTGATGCCTCACCGGCAGGTTTCCACAGAGTCAGGCACATTTCAGTGCAATAAATAATCACCAACAACTAATAATCTGAGTCAGCACATACATTTAGATCTATATCGATATATTCTGATCTATATCTGATCTGATGAGCGAGTTTTGCACACGTTTAGACACACAACCTGACCGAATCAACACAGCTGAAACCGCATTAAATTAAATTCAATATCTAGTAAATAAAGACACATGATGAAGTTAACAAGATATTTAATTTGTCTCCCTCCTTTTCTTTCTTCCTCTTATTTCTCGTGCAGCTCGACCTGGACATGTCTCCGTATCCTCTCTCCGTCCTGCTGTAGCTGCTGAACAGATGATTTGTTTCATTGATCAGATGAGTTATTTACTATAAGCCTACATACGGATATTATATTAATCAGTTTTGTGAGCCAAATTTATTTTATATGCCAACATCTATGAAAGAAAGAGCCAGGCCACGGAGCGCGATGCATCATTACGCACAGATAGTTCTGATTTTAATGCCATTTTTGGAGTTTATGTTGTGATCTGTGCGCTCAACCCACCTTTGTCACGTGAGGTTTAAATATATGCAACTTTATGTGAGTGTCTTTATTTGTGGAAAAGGCTGTTTGTCTCACCAGTGGATCCAACATTACACACACCAAATCCATCTGTGCTCATATGAGAGAGTGTGGAGGACGCTCAATGCAGCACTTACAGTGACACTTGTTGAGGAGCTGCCCTCTGTCGCCATCGTGTGGCATTGCTGTCCTCAGACATCTCTTGATCTCTTTGACTATTTCCCTAAAATTGTAATACACCTCGCCGGTGGTGGATTTAAAGGCAAGGAGAGGAGCTTATGTGATTGGTGAATACAGGTCTCGGCTGTGTTAAACCCACTTACGCCGCACCTGCGGCACGTCTCTGGCGAACACGAAAATAGAGCCCAAAATGTTGAAATGAAAGCAAAGCAGGCATGAATGCTGACACTTTATGTAAAGGCATAACTTTCAGAGTGGTGTTTTGGTAGAGGTTTGTTTATGGCTCCTCAGACTGCTGTGTATTGCTATCCTGCAGTCATTACTAAAGTTGGTATAATTAGAGAAGCAAGCAGTCCGCAATATTCATCTCTTGAGGGGGTGTCAAAATCGGTGTTAGGGTGTTTTTGACCCTAAATTAATTTTACGGCGGAATATCCCTTTAACTTTCCCATCTACAATGGACTTTCTGAAAGATTTTTGCTAAGTAATTCACTATGATAGAAATCAGTAACTCTTTGGTCCAAAATCATATGTTTTTACGAGTGCCGCTCTTCAGGACATGCATAAGTTTGAAGCTTTCCAAGGGCTAAACTACAGAGCGAGATCAGAGAGTAAACTTAGTCTATTGAGCCTTTCGCCAGAGTGTTAAGTATCACAAAGCTTGCTCTCCTTCAACTTGGCTGGATCCCTATTTTAGGTTGATCTGTAAAGCAATCCCAGTTAGGACCAAGTTGTGCGCAGAAATTTTTCTTTGATTTGGATGACATGTTCTTCCTTCTATTATTTCCTAACAATGTTCTACAAGGGCAACATGGATCCAAACTTTAGGAAGACATTTTTTAAAACTTTTTTGTCATATACAAAGAGCAGTGTGTTAAAAGGGGTGCGACCAATATATCAGTTCATTTTGCAGCAACCTAAAATCTATTATGGTTTAACATTTAAAGAAGATGGCACCCTAAGAAGCAAGAGAAATCTCTCAGAAACACTGTGTTAATAATCATGTATTCTTTAGAACAAACGTTTCTCCTTCTGGGAGCCCCTAAAAACAGATTGTATCCCATACATTGATGAAACTTTACTCTGGATTTTCCGGCATTAGCCAACCTTCACAAATCTGTTGTTACATAAATAATTTCTGGTTGTCCTCATATGGCAATTGGTACAATTTTTCAGAAAACTTAACCATTCTATGTGTTTCATTACCTTAACAAAATATCGCCCTTTCAGTGCTCTACATTGGGCCACATTGGGACCATGTATACACAAAAATAGGTTAAGTTTAACAGATGAAAAAATTGTTACCTTAAAATACATTGGAGGCTTCAATTCTTTATTTAATGGTAAAATCATTATTATAGTTTACCTTTCCATACTTTGAGGAAAGCCTGGTCTTGCTGAATTTACTTCACAATGAAAACAATCAGATGGTAGGGGTGTGTTAACAACCAAATGATATCTCAAAAATAGAGTGAGTCAGCAGTGTACCGCAGAGTGCCCTAAAAATTTAATCCAGACTGGTACCTCCCTCACTTCTAACTTTAAAAGATTAACAACACATTCCTCATCTGAGACGTAATCATAGTTTGGAGACAATCTATACTGAGAGAGAAGTTTCCAGAGAAGTTATTTAGTTTAAAAGCAGACTGATGATTTGTTGTTTGTTTTTTTTTCAATGGGCTTATAATCACCATAACAAAGAAACCCTGCAGACCCTCAGATTGATCTGCTTAACTCTGTCTTTGACACTTGCTTTCCCTTATGCTCTCTTTTTTCACTTTGCAATCCATCCAATCACGCTACTTTTTATGTCATGGTTAATCAGTTCAGTCACTATGTCATCAGGACCTGCAGCTTTACCCAGCTTTAAGTTTCTTATACCTGCTTCAACCTCCTCAAAGGTAGAAGTCTTAGGGTCCTTACACACCAGGTGAGAATTCGCCAGGCGAATTATTCGCCTTTTTTAAAAACAGCATAAAGTCAATGCAAGCTTCCACACCGGCGGCAATTTTTCCGCAGGGCGAAAAGCCGCTTTTATTTTTTCGCTCCTGTGTCGAATTTTTCGGATATTCGCAGGCGAATATCTGGACCTGCTAGACCTCTGGCCAATCAAAAGTCATGTTGTTGATGACGTCACAGACCCATACGGCTGGAGGAGAGGGAGAAGTTTGTGATTATGAAAACGCAGACAAAGACAGCTGAGGTGCATCCAAAACTCTTTCGAATTACTAATGAAGTAGTTTTCTCACAATATGACACTCTCTTGTCTTCCTTAGGAGACAGATGTCATGCACACTTCACAGGGTGACCGCCTCATCATGCCTGATTCTCCCTCTCAGCTGTTTGACATACCGATGATCTGCAGCTAAAGGGCCAACAGAATGACCAGACAACTTGAAGGATCACTGCTCAGCCCTCGCCTCTCCTGGCTGCTGCGGCGTCTCTCACAGCTTTTCCTCCTCTTTCTCCCTCGCTCACAATGCTAGACATGTCAATCAGCAGCCGTTCACACGACACACACCACCACTGGCACCAAGAGCAACGATGGGAGAGAGGCTGGTAATTGCGGTACAGGACCACCCCGCATCTCCTCTCCTCCGTGCCGCAAAGCGACTTTATTAATTCGCTTTGCAAAAAATATACGCATATTCGCTTCGAGCCCGGTGTGTATAGGCGAAAGCGATTTTTCGGACCGGCGAATATTCGCAATTTTCGTCTCGCTATTTCGCTTCGCTCCGCAAATTCGCCGGTGTGTAAGGACCTTTAGTTAGTATCAGCATGCTCTGCTGAATTGGTTTTGTTCTTTGGCCCTCAGCCTCACTGCTAATCTCCTGTTAGCTGAGAAGCTCTTTTATGTAAGTTTTCCATTTAGAAGAACACACAAAAAAGCACATGTTTGCCAGATAGGGAGTAATGTAACCTTGGTGCTAGGTGGTAAAATGTTAAGTATAAAAATGCGGTGTACTTTGTGCCAGTTAACACAAACACATACCCGTTAACACAAATGCCACAATAAATGCTGCATAGAAGTGTTTTTATTGATTTACATTTCAGCTTTTACCAATGATAATGTAATCAATGGGTTAGAAAGAGAGTTTAGGGATATTTCTTCAGGATCACAAAGGATGTTGCATGATTTAATCCCTTTCAGCAACTTCTCTGCTACAAAGAACAGACTGCTTGATATCACATGGGACGTCATTGACAGGAAACCCATCTGTAATGATACACAGAAGAAAGATTTCAGCAAATAAACTCTGTGCAGTTCTATTTCCATTCAGCTACCCGTAAACCAAAAGTGATATCTTGCCTAAAGAAATTCTGTATCCAATACATTTAATTCTGAAAAAAAAGTCACAAAGCAAATACGTTGTAGATTTATACCTGCATCTCTCAGATGCATGCAATTCTCATTCCCTCCATGGTTGTTTGGCTCCCCGTCACCCCAGAATTCAGAGGACCATGCTGAGCCATCACTCCATCTCCACACAGACTCCTACAAGAAAAAAGTGTCCAGTTAATGACTGATGCATCTGTTATTTAAAAAATAATATACTTAGAGGTGACTCAAAGATGTCTGATTAAGAAAAGTACAGTTTAATGCTTTGAAACAACAAGAAAAGGCAGAATCTGAGATTTTTTTTTTTTAAATCAGACGCTTCCTGGTTTCAGGTTGTCATATAAATTGACCATTTGGATTTTAATAAGCTTTTGTCATATGCAGATGAACTGTCACAAAGTAACAAAAATTACATCTATTTCACTTTAACCAAATTTATTCTTTATTGCTTTTCAGTCATCACAAACACTGTAATTGTTAGAGGGAGCATGGCTAAAAGGGAAATCAAAATTTCAAATCATTTTTCTTTCTTGAGCACCTGAATCATTTCATTTACCTTTTTTTTTTTTTTTTTTTCCATTTCCCTTGAAATTTACCTTCATGTATCTTATATTGGGTGCCAATTTTTCTGTAACTATTGGCTAGCTTAATTACAGCGCAATTAGCATCTTTTTGGCTTCTAATTAACTGTGGTCTTGTCCTCAACAATTTGCCTCTTTTTCAAGTAATTAAAGTTTGCTGGATTGGCTAACATGCTTTTGATCTTTGTTAAGCGTACCTTTGTATGTCTTGTAGTCTGGCATTATACATCTCTTTTTAAAAAAAAGACTCACCTTGACTGCATCAGTGCCTCCAAGCCAGGTTCCCTGATTTTTGCCTGTAAGCTGAACCACCAACTGCTTCACAAAATTGAGTTCATCCTGGTCAGCAATTGAGGCAAGATTTCCTTCCTTGCCTAAACAAAAAGACTAATGTGGACAAAAATAAATAAAAATGAGTGGCAATGAAATACACAGCAAGATTGTACAAATAACAGCAGAGCACAGCCTCTATAATTGACTCTTGTAGCAAAAACTTGACAATAAAAGCAGTGTTACGATTTTGTGTTCTTAATTTATGGAGTACCTCAGCATCGTGCCTCTCTTTCAGTTCATGGTTGAAGAGGAAACAGCGAGACTTGTAGTTAAACCAACCCTCAGGGCAGGTCTTGCAGGGTTCTACAACAGATTTTGGGCAATATTCAAATGTTATCCTCAAATTAGAAATTGCAGTTTCTAAACATCTTCCTTGACAGGATCAAAAGTTATCCTACACTTTGGTCAATAACTATACATAGCTTGCAAACTCTCTAGGTGTGCACCTGTTTTGTGGTTAAATGATTTACTTTCCTTAGTCCTCATCTTTCTCAAATCTCACTTTTTACACAGCAAGGAACAACTGGGTTTAGACCTAAATAAAAAAACAATTCTTTAAATTTTTGTTGAATTGATAAAATATGTCAATGGGTGCAGATTAAGGACTTTATATTCATACTACCAGATTTACCTTACTGGAAGGGAAGTAATACGGCAACTGAAGATTGCAGCTGTACTAAACCTAAACATTGGTAGAAATGAGCTCCTACGAGACTTTATTGTTAGAGCATTGGCAACCCAGCATCTGCTGCAGTATGAAAAGCTGGATTAGAAATTTTAAACAGCTGCTTATAAAGGTACCTTATTTTGATTAAATTTTACCTAGAGTCATGATATTTGACATCAATCCTCTCAATAGCCTGTTTACAAATAGAGAAATATTAAAAAATGACCATATTCACCACATACTTGTGATGAAACTCTATGAAAATAAGTACCAACCTTTATACCAAGCCTGTGAAAGAAAAAAATAGCCGTATTAAAGCTCTTTTTTAAAATGAAGTGTGTAAATGGGCATATGACATATAGTGTTATAATTCCCATTTGCTACAGCATGCAGCATGGCTCAGTGTAGCACAAGAATCAAACAATACTTACATTTGCTCCCATCCACAGTCCGCTGCTCAAGCCAAGGAGCACAAGAAGTTGAAGAGTGAGTGTCATCTGCACATAGATCAGACACTGTGAATAAGAATTGCTGAAAAGTGATATGTAATCTTAAGAACTACATAGTTCAGATTGGAGAGAATTTCAAAACTTCTACAACATGAGTTTTAAATTTCCTTATTACAACTTTAATGCATTTAGTGTTCAGCAATATCATTACTGTCCAGCTTTACATGTCTATAGAAATAAGCAGAGATAAGAAACCATAGAAAGGCGAAAATGCTACGAGGAGAGGTAAGAACCAAGTCCTCACCTTGTATTGATGATCAGGGTAGACTGAGTTTCCAGGAAGCATGTCAAGTTTTGTAGAGAAACGACTCTTCTTATACCTTCCACGGATGTTAGATTCAGAAATTTGCATATTACCAGGTAATCAAAGTAAAATATTGATTCTATTGATGAGATTACAAAAAGAAATATTTGCAGGTAATTTCTTACAATAATGTGGTCTAGCAAGTGATTAAATAAGGGCAAGGACATTTATCATCAACTCTTAATTTTTTAATGGAAAGCTGTTTATTATTCAATATTAGTCATATTTACACTTTAGTCTCAATACTTTCTAATAAAACCTTGTCATGGTTTAGTGATTACACAATGATGCTTAATGTCACCATACCCCAAACTACACGAGTCAACTCTTACAGGAAACATCTTATCTGGAAACATTTACATAAATGTGCCCCAAAATTAGATTAAAGTGTGACACATGAGTTCCTTGTATTAAATTGCCCCAAAACTCAGTCTAGTTTCTTATTATTATAACATTACCATTATGATACATAAATTGACATCTACCCTGTTACTGAAACTTGGAACTGTTTCATCTCGCTTAGAACCACAACCTGTAAGGATCACTTTAACTGCAGCTTATTTGATATCAGTCAAAATGTGTTAAAATGAAAGCAAAGTGGGCATGAATGTTGACATTTTCTTTAAAGGCGTAACTTTCAGTTGTTTCATGACTACAAAACTATGTGAAAGAAATATTCACAAGTTGTGTCCATCTTTAAATCTGTGGAAAAGCAGCCAAAATGAAGAGTTTTAGGCAGGAGTTGAATCTTGTTGAAATAAGGGTTTTCACAGATGCCAGTATAAGATTAACAATGGTTTTTTTGAAGCTACACGTCATGCAAAGCTTCCGGAGGAGTCCCAGACTGACACAACAAAAGGTGAAAACTGATACAATAAGTCTTTGTAGACACTGCAGAGGTGTAAATGTCACATCTCTAACTGGAATAATGAAAAAAGACTTTCGTGTTCAGATTTTAAAAACTTTTCAGATACTATTTGTATTTCCCACTGAGATCCTAAAAACTGTGGTCGGATGGAATTAAATCAGCAAATACCAACTTTTTGTGCATTTTCAATTGCTCTGTCACCACTTAAATAATAGATTGCATGTTTTTTTTTTTTTACTGATGCCTTTGAAACATCTCCAATGATTTATTCCAGATGGCCTGCTTTTATTTACATCTGCTCTGTGTATGTCTATACCTCAGTGCCATTGCAAATTAAATTTCTACCTCAACTTATTTTCTAAGGATCCCCCCAAAAATAAAATAATAATAATTTTCAGAGACTGTGTTCAACTTGCTGCTCCTCTGCATGGTCCTACATCCACATTAGTGGATGACTACAAGTAAGTTGAAAAGACAAACCCTTATGTCAAACCAGTGGACTTACTTGGACAAGTTAATATTCCAAGACACTCTGTTCCCTGTCAGTCATTATGTCACAAGCTAATGACACAAACAAGTATCACGAGTTAACCTTGCTAACACATACAGTGAGATCAATTTAATAGCTGATGAAAAGTCTTGCAATGGCTTCAATGTTCAGAGTTTTTCTAAGTAATTAAGAGTTTAAAGTCTGTGTCCTCCACACCTCTCCCTGCCTTGTAAGCAAATAGAAGCATATTAAAGGGATATTCCGGTGTAAAATTAATTTAGGGTCGAACACACTCTAACACCGAGTTACACCCTCCTTGAGAGATGAATGTTGCTGACCGCTTGCTTCTCTAGTTATACCAACTTTAGTAACAACTGCAGGATAGCAAAACACAGCGGTCTGAGTAGCTATTAACAAACCTCAACCAAAACGCATCTCAATAGCCACAAATAATGCTCAGAACAGCACCTAACTTCATCAACAGTACATATATGGTCTTAGCCACAGCACCAGCCACCAAACATTTTTTTTAGCTTTGCCTAATTTCTTTAGCAAAGAGAGACTAAACACAACTCACCTACTCTTTTCTAGCAGCCGCTCGTTTGTAGTGAGACCTTGGGCCAATTCATTACGGACTGCTGTGGGGTGATGCAGCTCAAGGAAGAACATTTATGGTCATTTCTTCATGGACTTTTGCTAAGTAATTCACTATGATAGAAATCTTATCTCTTTGGTCCAAATTATATGTTTTTGCAAGTGGTGTTCTTCAGGACATGCATAAGGTTGAAGCTTTCCAAGGGCTTAACTTCAGAGCGAGATCAGAGAGTAACTGAACAGAAACTGAGTCTATTGAGCCTTAAGCCAGAGTGTTAAGTATCACAAAGCTTGCTCTCCTTCAATTTGGCTGGATCCCTATATTAGCTTGATCTGCAAAGCTACGCATGTGTACACAAAAATAGGTTAAGTTAAAGAGATGAAAAAATTGTTGTTTCATTAAAATACATGGGAGGCTTCAATTTTATATTTGATGGTAAAATCCTTATCATAGTTTACCTTTTCATACTTTGAGGAAAGCCTGGGTATGCTCAACTTACTTCACGATGAAAACAATCAGATGGTAGGGGTGTGTTAAGAATTAAATGATGTCTCAAAAATTGAGTGAGTCAGCAGTGTACCACAGAGTTGCCCTAAAAATATGATCCAAACTGGTACCTCCCTCACTTCTAACTTTTAGAGATTTACAACACATTCCTCGTCTGAGACATAATCATAGTTTGAATACAATCTCTACTGAGAGAGAAGTTTACAAATAAGTTATTTAGTTTAAAAGCAGACTGATGATTTGTTTTTGTTTTTTTTCTTCAATGTGCTAATGGTCACCATAACACAGACATCCTGTAGACCCTCAGATTTATCTGCTATACTCGATCATTGCCACCCTCTTTTCTTTATACTCTCTTTTTTCACTTTGCAATCCGTCCAATCATACTACTTCTCATGTCATGTCTAAAGCGCTATAAGAGATATGATATTGGCTGCTCCAGCATAATCATAATTATACCCTGCATTGATGGTATCTTTTTCTCTGCCTTAGCGCCTTTGTGTGCACACCTTGACCAGGAAAAAATGACTCCCAAGAACACCTAGTGCATCTTTCCAGTTGCAATTTTGGGGACACATTCCTGAGGAAGATGGAGAAACAACAGAGAAAGTTCTACGTCACTGCAGTATCAACATTTTACCTGTCAATGAGTATTACAGTACATTAGTAAAAGACAAGTTTATGTACAAAGATGGTCCAACCCATTCTCAATGGGACAATATCTAGAAATAATTACAAAGAAAACAACTTATCCACTAAGTTGTTTACACGGCTAATGAAAGCTGTTGTGAACAGGTGTTGCTTGATGCTCACAAAGTTGAGAGCGTGGCAATGAAAGAACCTCCTGAACTTAAAAACTTGAGAGAGATGCAACCACTTAAACATTCTCTGACAAGCAGTTACAGAGCCAGCCCAAGCCTCAATGGGGCCCTCAGCAAATTTTAATTTTGGGGCCCTCTATTTCTGCCAATAATATTGATTGTTGATCATTCACACAACTCCATGACATGCAAACATACCTTTATCTTGGCATTTTTTCTCTTTCTTCCTCTTTCTTTTCTCTGCTCCTTAAGGATATGTCCTTTTTGGCGACATTGTTTTGCCCCACACTACCTGCGCTTTGGATGCTCAGTGCACATTGCACAGCAGGAAGCACATAAAGGTAGCAGAGCTTTGACATATCGGTGGTAAGATACATACGCCTGAATCAGTGGCAGCACTAAAATAATACTTTATTTTTACAATAATGTATATTTGATCATACAGAAAGCATAACTCATACATGCAAAAATATATTTCAATTACTATTATTTTTTTTTTATTGCTCTTTGGGGCCCCCTATTGGCCCCGGGGCCCTTAGCAGGCGCTTAGTTCACTTATGCCTTGGGCCGGCTCTGAGCAGTTAAAAAAAACAAGACACAGTCATGTTGGTTGTTGATTACACAGAGAAATCATACATAACACACCAAAGAAAGCAGATAGAAACTGTGAGCCTAGCTGGACTCTTTGTAGCTAGGGCTACAGAGTTAAGGTATAATAATACATTCACCTACTATAGTGCAACAAAAATTTAATACCCTGGATTATGTGTAAGAATATCAATTCTGTATATTACTTCAGAAAGAACATATTAAAACAATAAGTTATAGAGCATAAAATATAAAATATTTCAGCATTATGCAAAAATGATAATCCTAGTAACTTCACATAATAAACTATATTTCTTGGTGGCAGAAAAACCCTTATAAAACAGTTAGCCTTTCTGATTGAAATCTTAAATCTTTAAGCTTCATTCTTGATATTTGTGGGACAGTTCAGAGTCATGGTTTGATGGAGTAAAGTTGTTGCTTAAAACTGACAGACCCCTTAATTAAAATGGGTGATTGATGATGAAATATAACCTCAAGCTGAACACTTTTGGTGTGACAAAGTTCTTTTCTTAATTAACCTTTTGGGCCTTTTATTGTTTATCTCTTGCTCATTTCTGTTTCTCTATTTTATCATTACTTTTATTATCAGGATTACCTGTTATCATTTCTATTATCATTGTTGATATTGCCATTTATATTAACTATCCTGTTTCCGCTTTCCTCCTCCCTTTTTATTGCATTTTCCTTTTTTTCTTATGTATTTTATGTTTTTATTTGGGTCCTCATGGTCTCATTTTACGTTGCATGGTTCTTGTATTGTGTGGGTTCCTTATGACATGCAAATGGCCTTCAATTCCGTTTTTACTGAGCTTTTTGTTTTTGTCTTTTTCCATGTGCTCTACAACTACATTTCAAAGCACTTTGTAAACGTCTGTTTTTTTAAAAGTGCTATACAAATTAAGTTATTATTATTATTATCTCCTGTCACTCTGGATATATTGATACACAACTCTAACGAGCCAGCAGCATCCTGCTAGCTGTCACTTATATCAGCCCCAAAACACATAAAAAGAAACATACCTACCTGGTGCTTACTTACAGTCTATTAGTCCTCTTCTTTTTCATCCATCTGGAAGCATCCTTCTCAGCATCCTTAATTTGTTTACTTCCTTTCAAATTGGGACCCAGTAACGCACGTAATTCCCTATTTTCGCTTTG